ACAGGACACTCGCCATCGTGAGTGTTGCCTAATAAAACACACAAGCTGTAATAGAAAATCTAACAGTTTATGGGGGTATTTCACACAATGTTCTTAGTTCTCTGCATTGTACACAGTGTGCAGTATCTCTCTGGTAGTCCGGTGACTTCCAGCCAATTGTGAGGCAGTCACCAGCACATCATTTGTTGACGTCTGACCCTGACATAATGAAGTAGTGCACTCATATTCACAATTTCTGTAATTTAGTCAATGATAGCAACACATTAGTCTGGATTGACTGGAGCTCAATGTCTGGAAGCAAGCTGCCAGTGTTGGAGTGAGTGAATTGTTAACCAGTGGTTGCTCTGTTTTCTGTGACCAGGTATATTCACAGGAGAAGGATTACTGGGCATTCGTAAAAGATGTTTGCTGGGTCAGCCCTCGCTTTGCTCACCATATTGAGCAGGTAAGTCAGAGTGCAAGAGATACTCACTACCTCACAGCATTTACCTGAGTTACAGCTGTGTTGGTTTGGCTAATTCATGATAACAATGGGATTGTCATCAGCAAAATTAGAACTTCTCATTTGTGGGCATTCGTAGAATACACAAGTCCAGTATATGTTCTGTGCTTTCTGTAAATGTTAAGTTTGTTTAAAGATGCAGTATGCACATATTTTCTGTATGATTGCCACTGATTCTTTGAATAACACTGAGGAAATAAAGAATTCTGATTTTTGAATTTTTTTTTCTGCTAATGAGAGTTTTGCTGTATCTGGTTTCCTTTTTAACATTACATTCACCATCTTAATTCAACAGCTTTCTACAAATCTTTTGGAACACATATATACATTTCTCCATGTTGATTGGTCTATTATTGTTATATTGCTTTGGTGTCTCAAAGCTCCTGACATTTGGGGTTAATTTTAAGCACATGTATTGTAGAACTAAAACTGAGGTTACTGTTCAAATAGTATTTCTTGCTAAGTAGTGAGAGGCTGAATTCTATCATAATAATCATGTATTGGATGGTATACAGCATTGGCAGAGTAGAACCCAGCACATGAGAGGCAAAGCAGAGTTGATAAAAAGATAAAGAGAGGAGAATCCAGGAATTCAGTTCAGGGGAGCAGAGAAGGCATTGAGAGGCAAAAAGAAAATTATTTTAAGTGCAACACTGCACAGAGATAGAGAAGTGGAATTCCTAGTTATCTGTCTGATCATAGGGAGCTTGGATCATCAATACATAAAATATAATGTACACCACTACATTTTACAGTGAATGCTGTGAAGCGCTTTGCGATGTCCTCCTGACATGGAATTGAAAGGATTGTAGTTATGGTCACAGTAACATTATCCTGTATTTGATCAGAATGTGCTTGTATTTTAAGAGGGCATTTGAATTTAAACTCACATTGTGAATAATTTTTCCTGTAACTGTTAGGGAAAAACAATTTGTGTTTTTCTTTCCTCAGTTTATGGACCTTGATGAACAATCTCGGAGTTGGTCTGCAAAAAGTAATTCTCACAAAGCAGAATGCTGGCTTTATCACAGCCTACAACTACACTGCCTGTCTCAACTCAAACCACTGCTCAGTAACTATCAGCACACCAGGAATTCTACAAAGGTAACAAAACTAATGTCCAAGTTGTGCCTGCCAGGGTATGGTTGCTGCCCATCATGGAAGGGTAAACTCTGGGGCAACCCAAGGTGCAGGGCAGCACCAAGGTTGAAAAAGCATGGGAGAGAGGGTGATAAACTAGGAAGTGGTTAGCTAAAGCTGATTGTGGGTTTAAAAAGCTGCAGACTGTAGGAGACTGAAGAGAAATTCAATGCTGAATATAAACTGAGCTGCATCGAGCAGAGTTAAATAGCATCTTATTTCCATTTTGAGGTTCTGCTCTGTTTTACTGAAAATGTCCAGGAAGTTCTTTTGCATACTTCTGTTCGGACCTGCCATTTAAGCTGTAGCTGTGCAAAAGGAGAAGCTGGTGCCTGCAGCAGTCAGTTTCCACTGCAGCATTTGCATTACGGCTATAATATTCTGTGAAGCGCTTTGAGACGACTAGAAGACGTGAAAAGTGCTACATCAAATGCAAGGATTATTATTATTATACAGCTTGAGGCACAATACAGTCAAATCTCTAGCAAAGACAATGTGAAGTAGTAACGCAGAGCTACAGGCAGTTGCAAGGGTTCAAGATTAAATGCTCCAGGGCCCAGAGCTGAATATTACTATTGTAGAAGTGCTGATTTTCTCTGTTGAGCGTGAATGGTGCTTATTAAATGCAAGTTGTTATTAACAATTAGTGTTTATTCTGAGCTCCTGGCTATGGAAGCTGACGCTGTTTTCTGTCCTCAGAATCTGCTTTTCTGTTGAGTGACGCCCATGTGACTGCTATGTTCAATGTTTGGAGGCTGTGGAACCAGAATAATCCCAAAATCCTTGCTCAGATTGATGCGTCAGTGGTAAGACACTTCCTGAGAAAACCATTAACCTAATATAGAGCTTCATTTAAAATTAATTCATTTAATTTTGTGGAATGTTAAACCTTGCTGAATTGTAAGATCTGGAGTCCAGTGTTACAAAGCTAAATTTTGCTACAATAGGGAAGAACAAATCCGAGTCAGTCAGTGTAGAAAAACAAACTGGAATGATTCATTCAGACCTTCTGTGGTTTGTTCTGGGAGAGTTGAAGTGTGCATCTTGTCTCAGTGTTCTTGTAATTGTGTGCTGTCTTTAATTCTTCAGTTTGCTCGGAGATGCAGCTGTTCCTTGACAATGATGAAAAGTCGGAGTTTAACTGGGTTACCTGCGTTTAAGTGTGTACTCCTGTGGAGGGAGTCCAGAGGAGACATACTGCTTTCATATACCAGCCTTGCATACATTCTTAAGTGGGATTATTCCAGGTAACAGCTCAGAATACTTAATGTTCAGAGTGCTTTGAAAGCCTCTTGCCTCCAACTCATAGATTTTATAGCTTTGTGAGAAGCTTGAACATAGATTTAGAACGTCTTCAGAAAATGAAATAAATTCATGCCTTTTATCAAAACATAAACACCAATAGGTGTGTAACAAACAGATTATACCAACATGGAATTTACATAGAACAGGAAGGGAAAACTGCATAGATGCCAGGAATCTTCATTTGATTTAAAAATGATGAACAGTTATAAAGATTAGACTCTGGCTTAATGATAATAATATAATATAATAATAATGATCTTGCTACTAATTCCAAATGAACAGTTTTTACAGTTTAATATTTTCAAGTGTGACATAATAATTGCATCCTTCAGGAATTCAAAGGTACTTTTAAAAATGGTGAGCTTTAAAAACATAATTTTAAATTAGTGTGTCGACTCAAAGTGTTGATACTTATGTCCTTTGAACTGTACAAAAATCTTTCTCTTTTATTTATGCCTTCTTGAAACAGACAATGCATCGGCAAGTTTCTTCAATGCAAGCCACCCTCAACAAGAACCCAAAAGAGAATGTCTCCAATATTGCTGGATTCCCAAGACGTGCCAGTGTCTAATCAGGTTTCCGTAATCCCACAATTCAATATCATTCCTGCTATTGAGCCATTTTCTCCTGTCAGTGAAACAACAGTCAGTACTCCTATTAGCCACAGTGAGGACACGTGGAATGAAGTACAAGATGAAGGATCAAATGAAATGGATGATGGACCCGAGTACTTGGCTATTGGGAACCTAGGGCGGAGGGATTGCAGTTCAAGCCAGTGCAGTGGTACCTCCTCTGGTTCTGGGTGTGCAAAGCCACCAGGTAAACCTACAAAACAAGTTCCTACCATTAGCTGCAGTACCACTCTGCTGGCTCTCCCAAGACGTTCCAGTTTCTCTGAGGCTGAGACCCTGGAACGACACGGCAGTTTCAAGAAGAGCCATGTTCGTTCCCATTCTGACACAGGTTTAGCAGCTGCAAGGACATCGCGGACAGGTGAGCCTTGGTTCTGGGATTTCTAAATCAATATCTCTTCATTGCGTGCCTTAATGTGTACCTGTTTGTATTTAATATCATGGGGTTTCTTTTGATGAATGAAAGATTAAAGTAGGAAAAATTGACCTGAACTTGGCTATTCAGTAGATAGAAAATCAGCCAGAGCCTCCACTCCCGATCGTTCCGATGGCAGAGTAAATCTCAGATGGTGACAGGTTTGGGCTGCAATTTCCAGTGTGTCACTGGCTGAACTATGTACATCACCAAACACTTCCGAGGATATTCTGATGCTCTGCTCCACACTGCCTCTTGGCTCCAAGGTTGCTTGTGATGCTGGAAGATGCAAGAAAGTGAAAGACAAGTCAATTTTAAGACAAAAATGTTTCTTCACAGGGGAGGCGATGAATAAGAATAATTATCTTGTTATGACAGAATTGTATAGACCCAGCTACCAATGATATCAACACTTGGCATTGCTCTAGTGAGGTAGGTAATATAGGTTGATCATCTGGAGTTGGGAAAGAAATAAACTTGAAAACGTTACCTTTCCACATTCCACAAGTTTCTTCCTGAGGAAGTGTTGATTGTTACGGCTGTGAGATATGTCAGTGAGTAGATCTTGTAGGTCTTTGTCACTCTTCCTCTATCCCTTCCCCTTCCTTAGCTATGGAGCCACTTCTGTCTCGAGATGTTTTGAGAGAGGGAGGGTCAAGAATCTAATCTGCATTAATGGTTCTGACTTTAACCTCTCGTTTCCTGTATTTGGCTTTCTGAAGGAGACATCCGAGAAATCACTCTTATAGTGGAGGATCCAGTGGAAGGTTTGGAAATAATTGTCGCAAATTTCATTTCAGTATAACGAAGCAGCATGCAGCCTTTACTACAGTTCATCACACCATTTCTTTCAGTTTTGTTGTATACAGAGCACAGAATTGGAGCTGTTGATTATTCGACATTTCTAAGATTGCCATTGAGCACCACCACAAAGCATCTGTTATTCTACCCTGTGCTTTCACAATGCAACAAACCCATTTAACCCATTTAACTTATAAAGAACACGTGCAATATTCAGCAACGATCATTCAAGAAAGAACAAAATAATTCAGCTTTTCTGTTAAAATATAAACCCATCACACCTTAGGATAAGGGGGATACACTAATTTGAAGGAATCATTTGGAAGATTTTAAGGATTATTCTAAATGTTTTCTTTGGTGTTTAAAAGCAGCCCATTTAGAGTTTGGGCTTCGGCTGGTGCCTGTCGATATGACCAGTTGTACCACTTCTGTGCCCTACTTGTATTGTGAATTATTCTTTTTATCTTTTCTCATTTTCACTTGATATTGCATGGTGCGGTTAATTTAAGCGTTAAGTCTGACTTGTGAGAAAAAAAAGTTACATTCCCCATTCCATGGACCAGCCTCTGGTATGAGATCTGGTCAGTTCCACAAATGTTGAATTGGAGCAAGTCATTTGGAGGAAAGAGGGAGCCTGCGTCTCTTCCCTTATTGTGTTATGGATCTGGGAATAATGCTTTTGTAGTGTTGGATGAGGGAAATAGAAAGACGTAGAACGAGAGGGCTGTGTCACTCTGTTGCTGCCCCTGCGAAACCCGATGGATTCACTGCATTGTAACTTTATTGTCATCAAATTTATCACATAATGAGTCTATTCATTGACAAAACTTCCATCGAGTTTTAATCCATGGATCGGTTATATTTAACATTTCTTTATCAAAGCAAATTCAACTTGAGCTTGAGCAACATCTGAGTGGCCCAGTCACTGGTCTCACTGACACTTGGTAATGGTCGTCAAGTAAAACCCATGCACATCTGACTCGTTTCACTCTGCCTGCTTTTGGTTCAGCACGCTAACAAATCATTTTATAGGCACCCAGAGGGTTAAAACATTTTGTTCGGTTTTGCCTATTCTCTTGAATGCCAGAGCAGTTTGCTGTCCTTTTTAAAAGTTTTAGGCCTTACAAAGTGACATCCAAAGGTGTTCTTTGAATGCAAACAACGTTGGACTAGAGGGACAGATTCTTAATTATTGAAAGAATGAAAATCACTACAGTTAAACCTACACATTTTAATATAGAAACATAGAAACAGGAGTACGCCATTCAGCCCTCGAGCCTGTTCCGCCATTTTATAAGAGCATGAAGATGACAGTAATTTTTTGTTTTTAGAATCCCAGGCAGATGTCCCAAACATGAAGGAATATGGCCCGTTCTCAGCTCAGAGTAGTGAGGTCAGCACTCCGAGCTCACCGTACATGGAAGGTGGTGAGTGATATTTAAAATATTTGATTTTCTTAAGCTTAAGTATTGGTTATTGGTGCAAATGTTTGAGTAGATGATTGGATGAAATGTTCTCTTAAGTATCCCTTGTGAATGGGTTTGGGTACTAAACTGTCAAACTTAGACACAGGCACCACAAGATAACTGATAGAGTGTGTGTAGTGGTGGGATGGACAGGAGTGTACATTGGTGAGACAGGGAGTGCTCTTCTGTTCTCTTCTCCCCACAGCAATACCCGCTGCCTCCGCTCTACTGGGTCCGGCCTCCTCCACGTCCCCCGAATCCTCCGCTCCACCATCGGCGGCTGTGCCTTCGGCCACTTCGCCCCGAAATTTTGGAACTCCCACCCTCAACCCCTTTGTCTCGCCTCCTCCTTCCCCATCTTCAGGTCGCGCCTGAAGACTTTCCTTTTCGATCGCACCTACGGTCACCTTCTCCCCCCCCCTGGCTCGGCCTTGGGCTCCACCATTGTTAAGCGCTCTGAGACGCCGCCCGGTGTGGAAGGCGCTATATAAGTGCAAGTTGCTGTTGTTGTTGGGGTTGAAGCACATTGGTGGAATAATTAGAGGGAGCTTTATTCTGCAACCAACCTGTGCTGTACATATCCTGGAAATGCTAGTTACTGACACTGGTTCTTAAAGTTGGAAACCGTTCCATTTCCTACCACTAATATTCCTTACCTTTATCACGGAATTCACGTTTAAAAATAGGAGAAAGTGCAATTAATCTAATAAGAATTGGTCTGTTTGCCTAACTTTTCCTTTACAAATTCCTAAAATCACTATCACATGCTCTGTTAAAACAGATAAGTATCCTTTTGTGGGCTAAGATCTGTAAAGATTAGGTGTTGTCACATGATAAACTTCACAACAGGATTTTGTTGTTGGAAGGTAGCTGGCAACTGGACCCATGCACTTGGAATTGACAAGTTCCAGTCCTGGCTATTTATCTCATTCCAAAGTATTGAGCTTCTCCATGAGACATTCTGGCCCGTTTGGAAGTTTGTGACATCACTGAATAGTCTGATAGTCTATGTATAGATGTTCAACATCCACTTTGGTAAATTCGAGGCCAATGTTCAGATGTTCCGGCCAATATGGATATGGGCTCTTATGACTCATAACTTAAAACGGTTTCCTCTGCCACAGAAGGTGTGAAGTATATAAGCAGCTCTGATGGACTGTTCCGTCGTCCCTCCCAAGGCCAGTCACTGATCAGCTACCTGTCTGAGCAGGATTTTGGAAGTTGTGCTGATTTGGAAAAGGTAATCTTCAAAATGTTTGCTTCGCTATAGTGTGTGTGTGGCAGTGTGGTGGATAGTGGTGGACATTCTCTTCTCTTCTATTCTCTTCTCTCCCCACAGCAGTAACCGCTGCCTCCGCTCTACTAGGTCCAACCTCCTCCACGTCCCTCCACTTCATGAACTCTGCTTGAGGGCTCATGTTTTTCTATGGTTGCAAATGGTTTTTCTGGGGCTGTAACTTTTTACCTGGAGGAATGAGGCAATTTACCTGGAAGTGGAAGGGAAGTGATTTACATAGGCTTAATCATGATTTATTGATGCTTTTTTTTTTAAATGGACAACATTTGATCGCTCAACCTGCTCTTTGTATGTTTTTTAAAAGAGAGATAGATCCCTTTACCTGTGACTGCCTTTTTCTTTCTTTCAGCAGAAGTATCACAACTAATACGTGGACAGACACTTCCAGCCTTTCCCTTAACAATAATATTAATAAAAATAATGCTTGCATTTGATATAGCGCCTAATCACGTAGTGAGACGTCTCAAAGCGCTTCACAGAATATATTGTAAAGTGAATTGACTGTGCATTTGTGTGCAAAACTTAAACCACTTGCTTGCACAGAGAGCTCTTAAGAGAGGTTTAAAGTTTCAGAGCTGTCATTTCTGGTGTAATTTGTGTGACATATCCACCTCCAGCTTTATGCTTTCATCCAGTGAATGCTTTTGGACGTCATCTCCAACATTTGAACAGGACAGCAGACTGCGATGGAATTCAAAGAAATAGGGATTTTGTTTTCACCTTCAGAAGTTCAATTGTATTTCATTTACTAAATTATAGCAACAGATAATGTTTTGTGAAATCGGATTCCATTAACATTTAGTCTTAGTGTGCTCTTCTTAGGAGAACGCTCATTTCAGTATCTCAGAGTCGCTGATTGCTGCCATTGAGCTGATGAAGTGTAATCTAATGAAGAAGCAAATGGAGGACGACGACGAGGACAGTGACAAGGAAATACAGGAGCTCAAACAGAAAATTCGCATTCGACGTCAGCAGATCCGGAACAAGAAATTCCCGCCGGGAATCCAGGATGCCGAGTCTGACAGTACATATGACGTGTTAATGGAGAGAAACTCTATATGAGTGTTAAATTGTTGCAGGTTTTTGTTGATGCTACAATGTAGTTGTAGCTGAAAATTGAAATCCTGGCCCTGGCAGACATAAACTTTCCCCTTTTGTAATATTTTCTTTTGGTCTTCAGTCTGGACTCTGGCTCAGAGCTGCACAACAGAGTGCTTCTCTTAAAGAAATCTCTCAGAACCAACTCTGCCTCACTTAATCCCATGGCATTTACAGGGACCCTAGAGAAGTCTAGAGCCAGGACTATTTCATCCTTTCTTTGTAAAAGAAAGCGAAGGCCTGTAATGATGACACAGAAGTATTCTAGCTGCCTCCCCTCCCCTACATGCTCCCCACCCACCCCAATGCACACACACAAAAGACCACCATGGGGAAAGGGGGAAAAGTTGTGGTCACTCACCTCTTGTATAGATGAATCTGGTGGTAGAAGGTAGAGTGATATCAGCCCCCTCAAAATAGCACAAGAAATGTCTCAAGACCAGAGGTACTCAAATAAAAGCAATACTTTCATTGGCATAAATCTCCAAAGTAACCTGACCCAAGTAGTGCAAGGTGCAAAGCACAACAGGGAAAGAGGGGTCAATCAGTGACGTGGGAATATTGGGATTAGGTCGAAACATTAACGTCAATCAGGGCATGTCACAAACTAGTTGTTCACAGTGCCACACAGTGGGCATTTTGTATGGTACACTTACTGAGTTTAGTGCTTCAGTTGACCAGTTGACTACAGTAATGTGCATGTAATGTTTACTACATTTTTTCTGTTTCCCCTCCACAGCCTTTACCACCACTGAGAGCGGGTCTCCCATCAGCTCACACGGCTCTGCACCTCTGACTGATTCAGGATCCACAGATGGAGTGGATGAATTTGAGCTAAAAGGTTTCGTATCAAATTATCTAACTTTCTCTGAATTTACCATAAAACCTGAAGTTCAGAATGAGGGAAAAAAAAGTTCTGGTAAGCTTTCTAGCAGACTGCAAAGAATTTCAACTCACTAAGTTCTTGAGAAGGGAATTTAACACAGGGAAATAAATATGCAGTTGATAAAACTGAAGGTTTGTCCAAGCTGCTTGGGGAAGCTAACAACGTTCTTGGTATTGACCCATCATTACAACATACATTGTTCCACAGGTGATTTTTCCGAGCAGCACTGGAACCTTCAGCCTCTCAGTATACTTGATAAATTGTTTCTATATTTATCCTGAAAGCAATTAAACAGATCTTCATGGATCTCTTCTATATTTAATGGCAATTATCCCTGCTACTCTGGAAGTGGTATTATGGTAATCTTGCTAATTTTGTACTCATCCTTTATTTGGACGCTCACAGTTCAAAAATGTCCATGCCTTTAAGCACTGAAGGATAGGATCACCTCCTTATGTCTTCTGTCCAGTGAGGAACTTAAAAATGTTCAGACTGAAAACGATTGTGGTCAATCAGTCCAGTGTCCATTTTCTAAGTACTGTTACTCTCCATTCCCCAAACCGTTAATGGGAATTGTGCTTGGTTGCTCTGAGCCTTGCATCCACACCAAGTACCTTTTGTTTTTATGGATGTATAAGTCGTACATTACATTACTGAGATCACAAATCTTTCGACAATTGACTACTCAACACTTGAACCTATAGTTCGTTCCACTCCTAGGACTATTCTGTATTCAGCCAATGCAGAAACATTTTTTGGGCCTAGGTTGTTAAAATTATTACCTTTTTACAACACATTTTGCCTCCACCAATCACCCCTGCTGTCAATTGATTGTCACTGCACTTTTGTAGCCAGACTGAAATCTGAGAGCTCAAACCTATGCTTGCCAGTTGTCTAACCAACTTATGAATATTCTTCTTGGAGGGGAAAGGTAAGCAGAGATCTTTTGAGGTTGATCTGTACCATGTCTGGCAACCAGCCCATAATCTGATACTTGGGGGAAGGGAAACAATTGAGATTTGACATTCACAAAGATAAGTTGCCTTTTTTTATTTTTACCAGTTCAACTGGACAACATTCCTTTAAAGCACAAATCTTGGAAGTTTATGTATTTTTTGTGCTAATCTCCTTGAATCCTGTTCATTCAACACTGAAGTGTTGAGCATTAAGGTGCTGATCCATTTCTTGTGATAGAGTGTGATAGCTCTTTTGGTCTATTGGTGAGCATGTTGCTGATAACCAGCCTGTTGTAGTACCTCGCTTTATAACCATCGTTGCTGGGAAAATCCTTTAGAATGATTTGAATCTTGTTGTCACTATGTCACACAGATGGTATTGATGAGTCAAATCTCATTCATATGTCTGCGAATGGGCTCTCAACATCAATGGCATCCTTGTTTTCAGGTATTTCATTAGCAATTAGTCATTGTGTCTTCCTTCCCCTCCTCCCTCACAGGACCCCAGGGAGTGCTCATCATATACCTTTGAAACATGTTGATAGAGTTTCAAGGTTAATTTTGGGCCGGACAAATAGTGTTAGGAGGTTTCCATGTGGGTTCAAGTCTTGGAGATCTGTGTTCTCTGCCCATGTCACTGAGTTGTGTTTTCAAATGTTCTTCTGTGCAAAGTGATAGTCAGGTGCTGGGTGCCTCCCTGAAGTAGAAGGAAGAATATCTTGAAGGCACTGTTCTGCCTCCTAGAGAAAGCTAAGAGAATAATTGACAGGGATGGAAGTAGATTGTTTCCAGCTAGTGTTCCGATCAGGTAATATGTCATCCAAAGGATGGACCTCCAATAATGGAGTACTCCTCCACTTGACTGCCAGCCTAGATTCTGAGCACATCTTGGTGTGAACCCATGACCTCTCAAAACTATTTGAGATTTCTGCTAACAACCACCTGACAAACTGAGGATTTCAAGACTTATTCCAACTCTCTCACTACCACCCCAGCTGAGATCAACACCATTCAACAGTGTTGAGCACTGTTGAGCATTCACTGACTGCACCGTTGAACCATTTACCCCAAATGCATTGTTTTGCTTTGTGCCACTAAATATCTGTAGCACTCCCCGAGTCCTGTGATTGAGCGTGCTGAGTTTTGTTGTAGTTAGACTGCACAAAGGACCTTTCCTTAGAAATAATGTTAACAGTCTGTCTGGTGAGATCGATTGCAACCTTACATTTGTATAATATGCTAAACAGTTATAAAGAAATACACAGGAAAGATTTTCCTTAATGATGTTCATACTTTTCTAATCCGGTTAATTTAAATTCTCTATTTGATTAGCACTTGGGGAATGCTGATAGGCAAATGATCTTGTCCTTCACCAAATTTCTTTGAAGGCAGAGTCATCCCTAACTATAAAATGTTTGCAACAGCCTGTCAGGGATGATAAACTCTGTTCCACTAGATCAAGGTTTGCTGTACTGAGAAGTACAGACATTTGGTGCAAAACTTCTCTAAGGTTTAGAATGGAACCTTTAGACTCTCCCAACGAACTGCAAGCTGAGCAACTTTGTGGCTTGTGTGAGTCTAATAATGAGTCAGAAACTACAATGATTCAATCTAGCCATTCTTACCATCTTGTGATTTACTTCTGGATTACTTTCTAAATTTAGATTGCAGAATCTGTTTCCTGAAACTGTTAAACTGTTAGCCGTGCCCTGAGGAAAGGTCCTTTCCATGTGTCTTTGAGAAACATTCTTTCCTCGTTGGCTTCAGTCTCCATCTCCCTGTGAAGTCGCTTATTGCTAAACCCTTAGTGCTACTTGTTTTGAGTGTGGTTCTCAGGTTGGATAACACATTTCATTTTACTGCTTCAATCTTTAACAGATTGTTGGCGTCACTGCCTAGAAAAATGGTTATGTCCTGATATGGCATCAACAAAGATATAGCAATTCTAGAGCCCCTGAACTCTTCTCTCCCCCTGAAAAAGCACAGCAGGCACTGTTCCTCACAAAGTAGTTTAGTTATTTTATAATGAAGCTCACTATGTTTGGGCCTGTGTTGATGGGTTTAGAGTATAACTCAAACTCCTGAATTTCCCTATTGTTAACTTTTTTTTGTGTTGAATAACAATCTGGCAGAAGATATTGAAACATGACCTAGATCCTTGTTAGTTTAGTTTTTTAATGGAGGGGATTACGAATTGACAAAAGTTCAGTTGCTTCCGCTTCATTTGCAGATTGAAGCTTCAGATACAACTTTGGACAGTCATTCCTGGTCCCTATTACTGGAACTAGTTAAGATTTTTTTCTCCGCAACTGAGAAAGTAAATAGGGATGAAAATCTAGGATTTATGTTCAGATAAACTGATGATCAGACTGTGAGGAATTGTCTTTCTGAATGATCCTCACTGTGTCTATCCTGAGTGGTGTAATTTTATTTTGTTTTTCAGATGCAGATATAAAGAGGAGTGTGGCTTCAAGCAACAAGTCTAGGATGAATTCCGCACCCATGTAAGTGTAACGTAAAGTTTCATTATTTTAAAGAGCTCCATCCTGTACCATTGACATTGTGTTGGATAAAACTCGAAAGTTTATTGCTTATGTATACAACTTCCTGCCCAAGCGTCTTCAGAATGATGGGGCAAAGGAGTGTTTGTGCACCATAATTGCAAAGTAATACTGAGGCCTGCACTCTAACCAGTATAAGATCCAAAAAAGAGTTATATCAATCCTAACTTCTTTCAGTTACAATGGTCTTTGTTTGTATGATGTGCTGGAAATATTTCCTCCTTTGCTCCTTTACTCGCTAAAATCAGGCTTGGGATCCTGGCTTTGTCCCCCTTGTTCTTAACCAGGGATGCTGAAGCAAATTGGAGTGACTCCATTGAAGTCAGCAGGAGATGAATTTGCATTCTTGTCTATCTGGCTTGTGATATCTAAACCTACTGGGGCATCAGGGAGCTCTTATTTGTAGTTTTGAGCATTGCACTACTGGAAAAGGACCATTTCTGAGTGGCTGACTGATTCTGCAAGTTTCTAGCTTCTAGGTTGAAACAAAACACTAATATTACAAGTTTAGTTATGCTTTATGCTCTCTGAATAGCTTTGTTAATGTAATTAATATTGATTCTAAACTACATGACAATAAAAAGACAATTTTAATGAGAATAAAATATGGAATTTGCTTTGAAGAAAGCCCCAATGTTCATTATAATAATAATATTGTTTCGCCAAACAAATATACAGTCAATTCACTTCACAGTATATTCTGTGAAGCGCTTTGAGACGTCTAGAAGATGTGAAAAGTGCTATATCAAACGCAAGGATTATTATTAATATTTATTATCATTAATATTCATTTTTGAAATGAAAAGAAGACATTTGAATCAAGCAAGCTACTGAATGGTAATTGTGGGTCTCTGTGTTGCAGCTCATTCTCATTTCTTCATTCAAACTCGGCTGAAGCTGTTGCCATGGGCCTTCTGAGGCAGTTTGAGGGGATGCAGCTTCCGGCTGCTTCTGAGCTGGACTGGCTGGTTCCAGAACACGATGCTCCTCAGAAGGTATGAAATTAAAGGGCTAATCTCCCCGGAAACCTGATGTGTATGGGCAAGTTCTGTCCAAATGCTGCAATTGCGTTTCCTGCATCTAATTTATGTCATACATTTTGCCATAGATGCAGAATCAATTGAGATGTTTAAAAGGGAGATAGATGGAGACTTGGGAAGTAAAGGTATTGCAAGTATGCAGAAATGATCTTAAAAACATGAACTAATAAAATGGTAGAGCAGGATCAAATGTCCATTTCATATCTAGGATCCTCTAAATCTGGCCAATTACTGTAGTAACAATTTGCATTGTAACTAACTTCCAATTGTTCAATCTGAGGATCTACTTGCATCTGTTTTCTTAATATTTGACATTCAGATTCGGTTTGTATCAGTTTCTGCTGATGTTGTATGTGAACTGACCCATTTCTCCTCAGTCAATTCCTCCTGCTCTGTATAATGTAACTTCCTTTCCTTACCCAGCTTTTGCCAATTCCGGACTCCTTTCCAGTGTCCCCTGATGACGGGGAACATGCTGACATTTACAAATTACGGATCCGGGTCCGAGGAAATCTGGAATGGGCGCCACCTCGACCACAAATCATCTTCAACATTCACCCATCGCCCAAGTACTGATTACTACTACACAAATATTAACATTTTGTGTGTGTTATTACCAACACAATGGTTTGCTGAAAGTTGTATTAAGAATAAAACCAAGTGGTAAAATGAACTTTCTGTGTTTGTAGGAGGAAGGTGGTCGTAGCCAAACAGAATTACCGCTGTGCAGGATGTGGCATCCGAGTGGAGCCAGGTCAGTTACTTAACAGTTAGGATTCTTAACAATAATAAATAATGATCTTTGCATTTGATATAGTGTCTTTCATGTTAGGACAACATCTTAAAGTGTTCACAGGATTTTCACTGTGAAATGTAGTAACTATTTTGTAGGTGAATTTAGGTGCCAACATTCAATGATTGTGGGACATTGCCTTGCACAGTTGCTGCCATGGGACAGCGAATTGCCTTGGGGCTGTGAGTCTCAGTGTGTTGGGACATCCTCCCAACGTGAAAGGCACTTTACAAAGGTAATTTTGTTGTTGTTGATCACAAAATAAACAGTCAATCCACTCGACAATGTATTCTGTCAAGCACTATGACACGTCTCAAAGACTTGCTAAGGCACTGTATCAAATGCAAGGATTATTATTATTGACATACTCTTTACCTGTATAATGTTTAGCTGCTACTCAGGAGGAGGTGTACTTTTTCTAAGGATCACGTTCATGTAAAAAGTTATGAAATGTATGTAACTTTCAAGGTAATTTCCCCCCTTTTACACTATTGTGTTGCTAAGGTCTCTTTCTATCAATGGCAAATTTTGTGCGGCATTTTGTGTTTGTAATAAGCAAGCTGTTCGATTGCTACTCCTGGACTTAATGACTGTCTCTGCTTTCTACACCAGACTATATCAAGAGGTTGCGCTACTGCGAGTACCTGGGCAAGTATTTCTGTCAGTGTTGCCACGAGAATGCCCAGGCAATTGTTCCAAGCCGAATCATGCGGAAATGGGATTTCAGCAAGTATTACGTCAGTAACTTTTCCAAGGATTTGTTGAGTAAGATCTGGAATGATCCGCTTTTTAATGTTCAGGACATCAACAGTGCTTTATATCGCAAAGTGAAATCCCTGGATCAAGTCAGAGTAAGCAATTGTTTACCGTTCTACATATCATTATGTTGGTAATGTTGGTATCTGCTGTTGCTATAACACCAGGAACTGGTAGCTCTCCTCTCAAATTGGAAATAAGCCAAAATGCTTTTGTAGATCACCTGCCACTGGGCTTCGGACATTGCTCCTGCTCATGCAACATTCCACCTCCCCCATTCTGGCATGAAATATAATGAGGAAACAATGAATCCTATCTATCAGTTATAACTTCTGGCATCTAAATATTCAACTACTGACACCTATCTAGTGTTCATCTATCATCTCTGGTATCTACTGTACGTTGTAAATGTAGTGGTCAGAATGGGATTCTACCCAGGTGATAGTCTAATAGAGTTATTGGTGTAAGGTAAGCATTCCAGTGGCAAAGTATGGATGTTTTCTGTTGGCTGCAGGGCTGTGGAGATTCTGATCTGTAACTTCATCTGATTTTAAACTAACTGTTGTCCTCTAACTGACTGTTCTGAGTGAACTAAATTCCTGTCATCCTGTCCTCTATAAAAAGATGCTGAGAATTCAGTTGGTTCACATGAAGAATCTGTTCAAGACGTGTCGGTTGGCAAAGACGTGAGTGAAAATCTTATGCGTAAACTAACTGACTCCTCAATCACTGTTTATAATAATAATCCTTACATCTGATACAGTGCCTTACATTTAATACAACATTGAAAGATCTCAAAGCACTTTATGGTATTTAGCGTAAAGGGTAGTGATTGTGTATTTGAAGGCGAACACACCAAATGAGCCATGCTGACACCTCGTAGGGCTGGTAAAATAGAAACTCTCAGTGAAACAAAATGTGGCTCATCTCCAGCAGTGATAATGTGCTGATTTCTTTCCAACCCCAAACTGGACAAAGTCTGATGTATTTAAATTATTCCCCACGCAGCCCCACTCCCCAGTTTCTTCTGTAGTCTCCACACATTATTGTTCACAATGTGATTGTATAATGTGTAAACATCTTATAGTTGCTCCCACATTTCCAGCCTGCAGCTTTCCTGTGAACCTGAACTATTTTTCGATCTTTACTATCTCTTAACCCTGTGAGATGTTGATTTTCAGTGTTGATTTTTCTGTACAGAACTGGAAGTAACCTTATGCGAAAACTGTGAACTTCTTCTTGAAGGCTTTATTTTTGGTTTAATGTACTTCAGCAATACAATTAAACTGTATTTCCTTTCCAGTCTCCTTGATACCTTTGACACAGAACCTGGCCACCTTACTGAGGACCTCCACCTGTATTCGTTGAATGACCTGACAGCGGTAAAGAAAGGGGAGCTGACTGGTAGGCTCAGGGAGCTGGTGAAGACTGGATTGGCACATGTGGCGAAGTGTGTGGTACGTACCATCTAAATGACATAGAATGATACAGCCTGGAAATGGGCTGTTCAGCTCAACTCGTCCATGTGGGTAAATGGTACATGAGCCACCTTGTCGAATTCCACTCTCTTTTCGCTTCTCATACAACAACAACAACAACAAGATTCCATTTATAGAGCGCCATTCACGTCGGGAGGACGTCCCAAGGTGCTGGACAGTTGGGTCAGGACCCGAGCAGGGGGGAAATGGTCAGGGTGAGGGGAGGGAAGGGAGGGAGCGAGGAGGGGGTAGAGAGTCGAGAGGAGAGCTGAAGGCTGAGAGGGGAGCTGCATACCCTTTAATATTCTTTTTCAAGCAAGTGGAGGGCATAGGTGTCAAACGAAAATGCTTCAAGTAAGACTAGAAATTAGACCAATTTCTGATCTCAATAGCTTCTGAATAGCTGATCTGTCAAACAGACTCCAAGCAAAAGTAATCAATTTTCTCAATTAACTCCTTCAAATTAACTGTTTCATTTTCTCCCATCAACACCAGATGCATTTATTCTGTAACTGTGAAAGTATTTGCCCTTCAATCTGTTTTTGACACAATATTTTTCTTTTTATTCACACTATTTATGGCAGCTACAGGGCATAACTCCTGTTATAACATGGTGGGCTGAGGCCACCAGCGCAGATCCCTATGTTAAAAGGAAGCATGAAAAATTTACCTATTTCTGGGTTGTCAAGTTCCCACATTTTTATAGAAATTTATGTTGGGGCTGAAGCTGTATCCAATAAAAATAACTGAGGTTTGTTTTTACTTAGCTTTGTCAAGCAAAAGGCTTCATCTGTGAGTTCTGCAGTGACGACACTGACATCATCTTCCCTTTTGAGCTGAACAAATGCAAGCGTTGTGAAGGTAAGTGCTTTAAATTGCATCACAAGAAGAAACTGTTGTTACGGGAACCTCAAAATACTAAACATCCATTAAAACATTGCTGGGTTTCAGTATATCTCTTGTGTGGAATTTACAGTGTGACTGTTTTAGAACTTTCTGATCATGTGCTATAGCACTCCTGGGTCTGGTGAATACACTTGATTTAGTTGCCTGGTCTAAGGAGCCTCCTAAGCTGTATTAAGGATTGTTAAGAAGCATAATTGTACATGTGTAACTGGAATAATGTCTCTGTTTTTGTTTCATTACAGAATGTAAAGCGTGTTATCACAAATCCTGTTTCACGTCCGATCAGTGTCCTCGGTGTGAGAGGTTGCAAGCTCGGAGAGAACTGCTTGCCAGACAAAACACTGAACTATACTTTTCCGATCCAGAAGACGCACCCAGAAAGCAGCGATTGTGACTCGTGAGAGGAGGTTATAGACCATTTGAATGTTTGAAGTTCAATTTATTTTGATGCACTATCTCTATATGGGAGTTTGTATTAGTCTTTCTGTCCTCTGTGTGCTATAATGAAGATGCAATCTGTATTGCCAGATGCAGACACCTTGGCAAGTGCTCCTTCTTGTGCTGATGAATGTTAATAATTTACTTGTCCATCCTGGCTGCTTAATGAGTTTATTTAGAAGAGTGATATTGCCTACTTTGCTTCATTTCATTGAGGCTGGACTGAGGAGCAAACCGTAATAGCAATCACTTGCTGGCCTGTTGCAATAGGTTTCTGTCCTGCCCTGATTACGTCACATGCTTTCAATTAGCTAAATCTTCAATGTGTCTCCACTCTTTTCACTCCCTCCATCCACTTTCCTCCATCTTGTCTTTCTCCTCATCTGTGTCCTATTTATCCTGGATGAAGGAGGATATGTTCAACATTGAAGTCATGGCGGGTAAATAAAGAGCAATTTTAAGTTATAAAGGCAGTAAAGTAATTCTCTGCCTCTAGTATTGTGTACTCTTGTTGCTTTTAGCTGATATTGTGACTGATGCCCAATATTGCTTGGTTCAGGTGCAGCACTATAGTTTATGCTACACTGGCCTCACCTGGTGTTTTGAGGGCAGGAACCACAGGGATAATGATGTCATTATATCAATTAATTTATTTTAAAAAATCCTTTAAAAACCATGTTTGAATATGCAGGTTCTGCTCCATGGTGCTGATTAGTATATTGCCACCCTGTTAAGAGTTAGTGTAACGTACCTCAGGCAGTCAATGAGGCCTGCAGAAGGAGTTTGTTGTAAACTTAGCCTTTGTTGGTCTGAGAATGGGGCGGGTGCTGCCATTTAAGAATCAAATACTATATATGATTGAAAAGAAACCATTGCTGTGTCCTGGTCATTACTGCCTCTAAGCGCTGAACCATCAAAGCGCCACATTGTAAGAGATCCGGGGTGCTTGTGTCTTGTACAGTTATTTTATCAAGGCCATTTGATTGTACTTCCCCCAGTGGTTTAATTGGAAAGCCACTGTATAGTTGAAACCGAGTCACACAGGCGGTCACGTCCCAGGGTCAGTCTCCAGTCTATGCTGGAAGCTATATTCGGCCTTGCTTCCTTAAGGTTAGGGAGGGAAAAGTCAGTCAGGGATCCTGCTCCTGATCCCTTTCCTTGTGACCTCTATAAAAAGTGGATATACTGAGGTGACGGAAGGATTAAACTCGATTGATGCGCCCAACTTCATATAGTTTGTTAGCATTTGATTCCGGGCTTGCATGCAAAGACTGGTCACTTAGGTGAAGCAGCCTTAAAACTGTAAAAGCTTTCAGGATAGTTGAAGTAATGGTAGATTTTGTTTCAAAATTTATACATGTATTGATTTTAAGCTTAAGTACTTGATGGTTTTAGAGCTGGTGTAAATGAGCAATGCAAACAGACTAGTATTCATCACTTTTCCCCACTTTAGAAAGGTGCTGGCTGACTGATTCAGAACTGTAATGTTTATTGCACTCCTGCCGATTGTGAATGCAACAAATGTGAAAGTAAGCCACATAGACTACAAGGATCCCAATTTATGGAGTCCTGTAGCTCAGTGGTTAGAGCACTCGCTTTGCAAGCGAGAGACCTGAGTTCAATTCCAGGCAGAGGGCGAAACCTTGGGCAAGTTTCCTTACTCCACACGCCTAATAATAATCCCATCAAAACCAAAACCAATAATAAATCGATCATTTTCAATCCACGACTGTCTGTGGGACATTGCTGTGCGCAATTGGCTGCCGCGTTCGCCCACAAATATACAGTCAATTCACTTTACAATATATTCTGTGAAGCGCTTTGGGACGTCCTCCCGACGTGAAAAGCGCTATATCAAATGCAAGGATTATTTTATTATCCCAGACCTGATCCTTGCTAGCATTATAAAGACTACTAGGCTTGGGAGAGTGAAAACAAACTGCTAATCACTATCTAGAGAATGTCAGGTTGGAACAGGTTCAGCTCTGATGCCTCCCAAAGTGGGAAAAGTCTGTCGATACTCACTGTTCAGGCTCACTGAAAGTACCAGACAATAGGAAGAGTCCAGGATAAATCATCGCTTTCAGGAGAGAATAACAGAACAGAGAGATAGGAAGAAGTTCACTGTTGACCAAAGAATGTGATGAGTCTGAACTTTGGGACCATTTGCATTCCAACCTGCAAAATGTACAGAAAATATGTTTTAGTTAGTTAAGGCTGCAAGGATGTCTGTCCAATGTGTGCCTTTATGTAGTACACTTCACCCTTTTGAGCAGTAGATTAATGGTCTTTCTTTTTAAGTTTATAAATATCAATTTGTTCATCAACTACTTTTGTCTGGGGGAGTTCTTTACCTGTCTAAATGTTAGAAATATAAGATTATTGTCCTGCGCAGGCTGTCCTTTAGAGAACATTCTGGCTAAAACATTTAAAACTTGTTTTTAAAAAAACACCCTGATTTATGCACTATAAGGTTATCTTTGCACTATCTTCTTGAGGTGTGGGATGGGATTGATCTTTTGGGTTTTGTTTGCATTGACTGGTACAGGAACTGGTAATGTTCATCCTAGTGAGAGGCAATGGCAGCTGGAAATGCCTTGGGGTTAAAGCGCATGAATAATTCAGCAGGGCTTGCACTTACTGCCCTCTTAACTGGCCCTGGAAATGGCAAATCAGAGTTATGTCAATTAGATCCCATAGAGGAGATGTTGCTGAATGTTGCTGTCCATATGAAAGATGCAAAGCCCACTGTTCCTAACCCTTATGTGTCATTTCTGAGAAGAGTGCCTTCACTTTTTTTACATACATCTTTTAAAAACAAAGTTCTTGGGAGATTATTGAGGTTAACTAATTTAAGTACATTTCCAAGTAAGAGGGATTTTATAATTTGTCGGTTGTAAAGTGTATAATGGGAATAGTGAGTTGATTTTGCTTGCAAGTAAATTACAAAAATCTACAATGATTTGGTTCTGAAGTATTTCTTGTGGAAATTAAATTGTGATTTAGCATTTCCACTTTAAGTTCCTCTGTGCAGTGACTTCTGAGCTCACCCAGGGCTTAATCAACCACTAGAAGCACCTTCTTCCTAGCACCTGATAGTTCATGTGCTTTTATAAAGTCACATTCTGAAAACAGCATTTTAAGGTTGCTACTTGAGTTACTAAACTTGGCCAGTAGTCAGTACTTGATTATTTTATTTTGTTAATAACGGGTTGTGTTACCTTTTTCCATTAAGGTACAATCCATTTAATGAACAAAATCATACAGATTGAAACAACAACCTCCATGTGTATATTTGGTCTTATGTAAATAAATACAAAAATTTGTATTAAAACATTATGAAGTATTGTGTTGGCTAGCACTTTATTGGTTTTCCAATTATCTGTATGTGATTGCTGTAGGATGGTTTAAATGCCTCTAAGGGATGTAATGTGCAAACTTTGATGAATTCTGCGCTTCAATAGTGGGATTGTATGTTCCCTCTGTTGTACTCCACATGATCCTCTCCATGGAGAGGAAGTGTCCTAGTTTATTAAAGCCTCCTTGGCAGTGCAAGTGTGGACTGGTCATTGCAGTGCTCAAGTTTCCATGTGAGGGAAGATCTTCTTGGAAGATTTATGGGTTTCCAAGTCTTTTTGTAGTTTCCTATCTTTGGACTACCATCATCTCACTTAATATTTCATGTACGCGCAAGCAGGGAAAATTAAATCTTTACATCCAGTAGCAAGAGACTGGAAAGCAAAGTTGATGCTAAATGGTATTTAAAGCTGTACATATTGTGAAGAATCTTAAACAGTTATTTTGTAAATAGAGATGGTTATTCTGCCTGTAGGATAAGTATTTGCTTCTCAAGTGTGTGTATGTGTGTGATTTGACTTCAGGAAGTTGTATAATCAGCAACCGTCCACAATAAAAACCTTCCAACAAATGTATTGCTTCATTAGTATGTGTGTATCAAATAAAGTTGTACTGAGATGAGTTTCCAATGATTTCTTGGAACAGGTAATATTGATCCAATCACACAATGCCATTGTGTTTTACAGCTATTATACGGAACATTGGGTGTGGAGATCTGAGAGCAGTTCCAACCACCACCCAACCACCATTAAAACACCCGGTTTATTAAGATCTACACATATTAAAGCTTCTTGAGCCAGATCTGAAATTTAGCCATAATCTTCATTTGCACTACTGTGTAAATGAAGTGCCGGGTGTGAGGGACGCGATCACTGCATTGTCAAAAGTAGTATCCTTCAGGTGAGATGCTAAACTGAGGTCTTGTCAGCCTGTCTGACAGTCAAAAGAATGCAAAAAATGCTATGAGATGTATGGATAGATGCTCACAGCGATCACCAAAAGTGGAATATATGGTTTGTAGAATACACCTGCAAATAAAGACAAACAGGATTTGGGACCAAGGTCACATTATTTTACTTGGCACAGCACTTTGGTTGTGCCTAATATTATCTGCTCAAGTTCCTGAGAGATTCAGATCAAAAGCACTGAGAATTTAGGCATATGTTCATCATCTGACTGTGAACTTTAGCCTATCATGAGTAATTATATCAAATTGTAGAAAACCTCTCAAGGTGTGCAAATTTATAAACATTAGATACGGGTAAACTAAATCATGGGATAAAGGAAACCAATACTTTGTTCCTATTTCCATAAAGAGGATGGCGATTTAATCAAGTCATCGATTAAATTTCCATAAACAGGAAATTAAGTTGTGAAGGTTGTTAATGGATCATTAAAATATTCAAATGAATGTATTTCATACTGGAGTTGTAAGAAAACGCCAGTATGAAATACAACGTTGTAAAACATTGTAAGAAAAAATTTAAAACAAATGGAATATTTTAATGATATGTAAAAGGAAATGAAGCAAATCATATTTGCACATGACTGTATACAGTCATTGTATACAGTCATTTGTATACTACTGAAAGAGTATTATCACCATCTATTGACAAGAATGATATATTCCAGGTACAAGAGGTAGAAATCATGTTAAGGATACTTAAAGACAATTTATTATATCTCCTTCTTTACCACAGAATCTATGGTGGGGAATTCCAAGATCATTATACAGTTACTTTAGGAGGGTTTTAAGCTGAGTTTATCAAGCCACATCAACTGCATATTGAGCCCGACAATGGAAATGCCTTCTGCAGCCTTGCTGTCAGAAAATCGAGAAGCCTGACCATCTTGGGATGTCAATAACAATGTTCAGTTAAGGAAATAAAGCAAGTCTCCAGCCATTTCTCCTTTACTCAGCATAGGGCATCATTCTATACCATGATAACCATATGCAGAAGAACAAGCCTTACATTGGGGCTTTGAACTCACGTCGTCTAGGTTGAGACTGAGTTGCCACCCTTTGAATGAGATGTTAACCAAGGACCTGTCTTCCTGGTCAGGTGATCATTAAAGATCCCATGGCACAATTTGAAAAGAGAAGGGAGTTTCACCTGGTGTTCTGGCAAACAATCCCTAACATCAAATGGATCATTCACTTTATGGATGTGTGTGTGACATTGCTATCCCAAAATGGGCTGCTGCATTTGCAGTCTGTATATACTTTGCAGTATATCCTGTGAAGTGCTTTGAGAATCTTTTTCATACACAGTTAGGATATGGAATGTGCTGCTGGGAGTGATAGGTGAAGCAAAATTTATATTGGCCTTCAAGAGGGAATGAGCCAGAAACCTTAAAAACATCAGCTACAGGGGTGTGGGGAAAGGACAGGTTAGTGGGACTAAAGTAACTGCTCTTTAGGGAGCTGGCATGGGCACGATGGGGCAAATGGGCTTCTTCTGTGCTATAAATGTCGAGGTTTCTATGGTTCTATGATGTTTGACCAAGATAGGAAACTCATTTATTTTTAGAAATAACATCATGGGATTTTTAACATTTACCCGAATAGGGCCAGAAATTTGTTTTAATGCCTCATTCAAAGGATAGCACTTTGAACAGTGCATTGCAGTCCTGCACTGGAGTATCGCCACAGACGCCATCAGCTCAAGTCATGGGGAAGGGAAGTTGAACTCACAACCTTCTGATCCAGATATGGATTACCTTACCAATCAAGCTAATCCATATAAATAGATATTCTATTATTTCATATTCAAACTTTTATTGGTTTTATTTATTTATTTATTTATTTATTTACAATTAAAGTTGTTTACATTCATGTTTTCAAATTATCCTTTATTTTCTCATTTGCGAAGTAGGCTATACAATGTTCACCTTCCAAACAGTATGTTTCAAAGCACATTAATATCAAGCCACCACCAGAGACTCTAGCTCTAGAAGAATATGGAGTAAGATGCCAGAACCACCAGATGATTACAAGAGTGACTGATTAATATAGCTTCATCCATCTGCTCAGTGGAAATATCAAGGAATACAATATCGTAACATTTCAATTTAATATACAGTCAATTTTTTACACACTTTACAGTATATTCTGTGAAGTGCTTTAAAATGTCTCAAAGATGTGATAAGACGCTATATCAAATGCAAATTATATCAAATTATTATTATTATGACTAAATCAACAACGATAAAAATAGTGTGTAGCAGATGTCAAGCAAAATAAGCCCGTAAGTTCATTTAATATTAAGTGAAATTACACAACAATGTAGCTATCTTCACAAGATCTGATGTAGTTTGAAATGCAAAATAAGAGGTGAAAACAAAATGGAGATTCTTATCAGACGTTTATTCCATTATTTTGTTGTAAGATTATTCCCAGTTTTTCTGTTATCTGTTCAAAATAAACAAAAGATCATTACTGAGATAGTTACTGCATAGTTTATAAATTATGTTGCTTACAGTTCAAAAACAAATATAAATACTGAAGTGTTATTTAAGATGAAATTAAGGTTTTTGGATGCAACATTAGTAATGTTCAATCACTCTTATGTTTATCTCCAAAATTGGGGATATTTTCGTAACTTGTTTATAATGGATTTAATGTTCAGCATTAAGAGACAAAAAAGTATGGTGGTAAAACTCCACTGATCTTCAACAATATGCATTAAAAATAAGGAAATCCCAACACAGGTCAACCCTGTTATAAGTTCAACAACACTATTTGACCATTGGAATTTTACCTCAAAGGTTCTGTTATGTCTCAGTTGATAAATTCACTTCCTACATAGAAGCAAGCCATAGAGGGTTGATATAATTTCTGGGTGGTAGTGATTTACCTATTCTCAGAGGGAGATGGAAGGTGGGAAGGAAGGTTGAAATTGGCATTGGCTGGGGAAGTTAAAAATGCACACGTGTTTATGCTTGGTTGAGAGCAGGATTGGATTTTGCTGTGATGCTCCCCTTAGTCTCATAATCCACTTGCTCCCAGTTGTTAGGCTCACACAGAAAGAATGGCCACTGCAGCAATGTAGGAATACAGCTGTTTTGTGTGGAATAATACCCAATAGGAGAGGGGAGAAGTTAGAGGGAATTTAAAATAATTAGATAGAAAGCCAATTACAAAATAAACCCAAATAAAACAGGATCTACCAGATAATGAGACTTTCAAAGGATTCTGAAAACAAAGAACGTGCATATTTAATTTATTTATTGTGACATACCATTTTATACACCTGCAATAGGTCTTGATCCGTAAGATTCTGAGCAGAATTAAATCTTACACCAATGGTCAAAAGAACTGTAAAAAAAAAAGAATGAATGCTACCATGTTTAAATGGCACAAGCAGAGAGTGGATCCACAGTTGTCTGATCACAGGAAATCACTTGATCCAAACAAGCTGTTTCCTAAATGTAATAATAATAATCCTTGCATTTGATATAGCGCTTTTCACGTCGGGAGGACGTCCCAAAGCGCTTCACAGAACACACTGTAAAGTGAATTGACTGTATATTTGTGGGTGAACGCGGCAGCCAATTGCGCACAGCAATGTCCCACAAACAGTCGTAGATTGAAAATGACCAATTTATTATTGTTTTTGGTTTTGGAGGGATTATTATTAGGCTCTGTGTGGAGTAAGGAAACTTGCCCAAGGTTTCGCCCTCTGCCTGGAATTGAACTCAGGTCTCTCAAAGAATATATGTTGTTGATGGTGACATTGTGTAAAATACAATTGAAGCTAATGTTCAAATAAATCTGAATCAACAAATGTTAAGCACTGTACACTGAATGTTTCCTGGTTTTTAATACTATTTTCAACTTTATATTGCCATAATGATGTTTTAAGTGCTGTCTGTTCTTTTCTATCTGTTAAGGTAATTGTATACATTTGAACTATGGTAAATTTGTCAAATAATGTAACAATTGTGAACTCAACCTTTGATAGTTTGTATCGTAAGTTATTGCTTGACAAAAATCAGGTGTTTGTCTTCAGTTTCCTATCACAATTTTGGGGAAAAATAAATTGCAGAATTGAAAAAATTGCAGAATTGAAGTAATTTGTACCTCCTGATGGTGATGTTGTTTTAGGTGTAGTTGAAGCTGAAACACAAAACAAATCTGAATTATGAAATATACAAGCACATTCCTATTGTACGATCAATTTCTGTTAAATTTTACAATTCAATAAATATGTTTTAAAATGAGGTTCATCGCACCGGTTGAGAGAGGAGCAAGAGTTGGGGATGTTTCTACAATGGACAAAAACATAGGAAAACTTTTTAACCATTGTAAAACCACCACGACCAGCAACTTGCATTTATTTAGCTCCCTCCCATACCAGTCGGCATCCCAGAGCACAGAGTGCAGAACCACAGTGGTTCAAAAAAAATGTTTCTTATTGACTGTGAAGTCTCTTCAGAGACGATCCAATAGAGGTGTATACAATTTTAAACGGGATTGAAACAATAAATCCAGATCAATACTTCAGGATGTATCAAGACAGTAGAATAAGAGGGGACATATGTTAAAAGTTGTAAAGTGCAATTTCACGACAGATACCAACAAGGTTTTCTTTACAATGATTCTCAATCTATGATTGGAACAGGTTGCCAAGAAAGATGCTGGAGACCAGGATACTAGAATCATTTAAGAAGCAGCTTGATGCAATGAGGAGAGGACAGTAGGGTGGGTGTTCTAGAGCAATCAGTTTGGAGGGGGTAAAGGGTCTTCAGTATCAACACCAATCTTGTGAAGCAATGACAAACTTTTGAACCATTATAAACTTGGTGACTACACAATAATGACCTTCTTATTAACCAAATCAACTTTTGAGACTTTTTAGAATTTTTTACTGGACTTGATGTGCGAGATGTTCATGTCCAATTTCCATTCAAACTAAACTTTGCAGAAGTGAAACATCTTGCACCTGTTGTTGATGGTGCTGTTGTATTACGTGTAGTTGAATCTGAAATACAAAGAAATGTAAATTGTGAAAACTTAATACAACACACACATTGTACAATTGATTTCTGATAGATTTCACAGTTTCATAATTCTGTTTTAAAATGAAGTGTGTGTTACCTGTTATCAGGGATGTTGAAGGAGGAGTTGTCAATGTTTCTAAAGTGGAAAAAAGAGAAGAAAATGTTTCAATGATTATATAGTGAGTGACTAACTATCCAACGGATTTGTATCAGATTGTTTTTATTGATCACAAATACTTAGTTTCAAGTAAGTGACTAACTATCCAATGGTTTTCAAAGAATGTCTCCCGGCAAACCCGTTTTACCATCGGTGGCCCAGCTTTCAGCCTCTCTGCCCCCACACTCTGGAACTCCATCCCACAGTCCCTTCCCCTCGCTTCCTCCCTCGCCTCCTTCAAGGCCGGTCTCAAAACGCTTCTCTTCGACCGTGCCTTTGATCTCCCTCCCACCTCTCTGCCTTCCCTCACCCCTACACCCCCCCTCCCCCATGCTCGGGCCCCGACACCAGACTGTTCAGCGCTTTGGGACGTGCTCCCGACGCGAAAGGTGCTCTATAAATGTCATTTTGTTGTTGTTGTTGTTTCAAATGTAGTTGAATCTAAAGTAAAACACAATAGTTGGAATGATAAAATGCAACATTTGTGATCTCACTGTTTCAAAGTAGTGCCTTGTAACATTGGGTGACTAAATGAATGTTTATGAACCATTTGCTATTTCTCTTCATTTTACAGAAGTCTGTAACTCTTGTTGGTGTTGCTGCTGTAGTAGATAAAAGTGAATGTGTGACGCAAACAAATCATAATCCTAAAAAATTAAAGCTCAGCACATATCGATGGCTTCTGGAATTTATAGTCTCACAATTATGTTTTAACATGTAGTGCATATTACCTGTTGACAGAGATGTTGAAGGAACAGTTGTGGATGTTGCTGAAGTGGAAAATAACAAGAAAGAGAGTAAAATGTTTGAACGATGACAAACTCAGTGTCTAACTATCCAACGGTTTGGTTTCACATACTTGACATTGACTACATTATACAATTCCTCAAAAATAGCAAATGATGTTGATTGTGAGTGAATACCTGTTGTTTCTGTGGTTGTGTTTGGTGCTGTTGTTTGAAACGGAGTTGAATCTAAAGCAAAATACAATATTTTGAATCATAAACTTGTCAATAAATGTATCATTTGTGAATTTGTTACAAAAGTGAGGCTGTACCTGTTATTAATGGTAATGGTGTGTTAGGTGTGGTTAAACCTGAAATAAAAGGATATCATGATCACGAAAATTTTGAGCACGTCACACATAGATTTGTTTTAGATTACATAGTCAATTAATCATATTTTAACATTAGGTGCATTTTACATGTGGAAAGAGTGGTTGAAGGAGATGTTCCTCAAGTGGAAAAAACACAGGAAAATATTTCAATGATTATAAAGTGAGTGACTAACTACCAAAGGTTTGTATCAGATTGTTTTGACTGACTACATTACATAATTCCTTAAAAATAACAAATTATGTTGATTTGTACTTTGAAACACCTGTTGTTCCTGTGGTTATGAATGATGTTGTATCAAATGTAGTTGACTCCAAAGCAAAATACAGTAGTTGGAATGATATATTTGTCAACTTATGTAAGATTTGTGCACTCACTGTTTCAAAGTAGCGCATTGTAACTTTGGATGAGTAAGTAAATATTTATGAACCGTTTGCTATTTCTCTTAATTTTACAGAAGTAAGTTTGTAATAGGTAAATGTGAATCTGATACAGAAACAAATGAGAATGATAAAACATTTCAAGCTGAACCACATGTCGATTTCTTCTGGAATTTACAGTCTCATAATTATGTTATAACATGCAGTGCATATCACCTGTTGACAGAGATGTTGAAGGAGCAGTTGTGGATGTTGCTAAAGAGGAAAATAACAAGAAAGAGAGGAAATCGTTTGAATGATGATAAACTCATTGACTAACAATCCAAAGGTTTTTTTTATCAGATTGTTTTGATTGACCACAATACATAATTCTTCAAAAATAGCAAATGATGTTGAATTGTAAGGTGAAATACCTGTTGTTTCTGTGGTTATGAATGGTGTTGTTGTTTCAAACGTAGTTGATTCTGAAGCAAAATAGAATAGTTAGAATGATAAATTTGTGAATATATGCAACATTTGTGATCTCACTGTTTCAACGTAGTGCCTTATAACATTGGGTGATTAAATGAATATTTATGAACCATTTGCTATTTCTCTTAATTTTACAGAAGTCTGTAACTCTTGTTGGTGTTGCTGCTGTAGTACATAAAAGTGAATGTGACACGCAAACAAATCATAATCCTAAAAAATTTAAAGCTCAGCACATATCGATTGCTTCTGGAATTTATAGTCTCACAATTATATTTTAACATGTAGTGCATATTACCTGTTGACAGAGATGTTGAAGGAACAGTTGTGGATGTTGCTGAAGTGGAAAATAACAAGAAAGAGAGTAAAATGTTTGAACGATGACAAACGCAGTGTCTAACTATCCAACGGTTTGGTTTCACATACTTGACATTGACTACATTACACAATTCCTCAAAAATAGCAAATGATGTTGATTTGTGAGGTGAAATACCTGTTGTTTCTGTGGTTGTGTTTGGTGCTGTTGTTTGAAACGGAGTTGAATCTAAAGCAAAATACAATATTTTGAATCATACACTTGTCAATAAATGTATCATTTGTGAATTTGTTACAAAAGTGAGGCTGTACCTGTTATTAATGGTGATGGTGTGTTAGATGTGGTTAAACCTGAAATAAAAGGATATCATGATCACGAAAATTTTGAGCACATCACACATAGATTTGTTTTAGATTACATAGTCAATTAATCATATTTTAACATTAGGTGCATTTTACATGTGGAAAGAGTGGTTGAAGGAGATGTTCCTAAAGTGGAAAAATCACAGGAAAACATTTCAATGATTATAAAGTGAGTGACTAAGTATCCAAAGGTTCGTATCAGATTGTTTTGACTGACTACATTACATAATTCCTTAAAAATGACAAATTATGTTGATTTGTACTTTGAAACACCTGTTGTTCCTGTGGTTATGAATGATGTTGTATCAAATGTAGTTGACTCCAAAGCAAAATACAGTAGTTGGAATGATATATTTGTCAACTTATGTAAGATTTGTGCACTCACTGTTTCAAAGTAGCGCATTGTAACTTTGGATGAGTAAGTAAATATTTATGAACCGTTTGCTATTTCTCTTAATTTTACAGAAGTAAGTTTGTAATAAGTAAATGTGAATCTGATACAGAAACAAATGAGAATGATAAAACATTTCAAGCTGAACACATGTCGATTTCTTCTGGAATTTACAGTCTCATAATTCTGTTATAACATGCAGTGCATATCACCTGTTGACAGAGATGTTGCTGAAGTGGAAAATAACAAGAAAGAGAGGAAATCGTTTGAATGATGATAAACTCATTGACTAACAATCCAAAGGTTTTTTTTTATCAGATTGTTTTGATTGACCACAATACATAATTCCTCAAAAATAGCAAATGATGTTGAATTGTAAGGTGAAATACCTGTTGTTTCTGTGGTTATGAATGGTGTTGTTGTTTCAAACGTAGTTGATTCTGAAGCAAAATAGAATAGTTAGAATGATAAATTTGTGAATATATGCAACATTTGTGATCTCACTGTTTCAAAGTAGTGCCTTGTAACATTGGGTGATTAAATGAATATTTATGAACCATTTGCTATTTCTCTTAATTTTACAGAAGTCTGTAACTCTTGTTGGTGTTGCTGCTGTAGTACATAAAAGTGAATGTGACACGCAAACAAATCATAATCCTAAAAAATTTAAAGCTCAGCACATATCGATTGCTTCTGGAATTTATAGTCGCACAATTATGTTTTAACATGTAGTGCATATTACCTGTTGACAGAGATGTTGAAGGAACAGTTGTGGATGTTACTGAAGTGGAAAATAACAAGAAAGAGAGTAAAATGTTTGAACGATGACAAACTCAGTATCTAACTATCCAATGGTTTGGTTTCACACACTTGAGATTGACTACATTATACAATTCCTCAAAAATAGCAAATGATGTTGATTTGTGAGGTGAAATACCTGTTGTTTCTGTGGTTGTGTTTGGTGCTGTTGTTTCAAATGGAGTTGAATCTAAAGCAAAATACAATATTTTGAATCATAAACTTGTCAATAAATGTATCATTTGTGAACTCATTGTTTCAAAGAAGTGCATTGTAACATTTGGTGAGTAGATAAATGTTGATGAACAATTTGCTATTTCTCTTAATTTTACGTGAGGCTGTACCTGTAGTTGGTGGTGATGTTATAACAGGTAAAGTTGAATCTGATACACAATGAAATCAGAATCATGAAAATATCAAGTGCAACAAATATCAATTGCTTTCAGCATTTTCAGTCTCATAAATATGTTTCAATATTCAGTGTAACGACAAACAAATCATAATCCTAAAAAATTTAAAGGAGTCCGTTGTACCATTGGGTGGGTGAATACATTTTTCTGAAACATTTGCAATTGCTCTTAATTCTACAAAAGTGAGGCTGCACCTGTTATTAATGGTAATGGTGTGTTAGATGTGGTTAAACCTGAAATAAAAGGATATCATGATCACGAAAATTTTGAGCACGACACATATAGATTTGTTTGAGATTATATAGTCAATTAATCATATTTTAACATTAGGTGCATTTTACATGTGGAAAGAGTGGTTGAAGGAGATGTTCCTAAAGTGGAAAAAATACAGGAAAATATTTCAATGATATAAAGTGAGTGACTAACTATCCAAAGGTTCGTATCAGATTGTTTTGACTGACTACATTACATAATTCCTTAAAAATGACAAATTATGTTGATTTGTACTTTGAAACACCTGTTGTTCCTGTGGTTATGAATGATGTTGTATCAAATGTAGTTGACTCCAAAGCAAAATACAGTAGTTGGAATGATATATTTGTCAACTTATGTAAGATTTGTGCACTCACTGTTTCAAAGTAGCGCATTGTAACTTTGGATGAGTAAGTAAATATTTATGAACCGTTTGCTATTTCTCTTAATTTTACTAGAAGTAAGTTTGTAATAGGTAAATGTGAATCTGATACAGAAACAAATGAGAATAGATAAAACATTTCAAGCTGAACCACATGTCGATTTCTTCTGGAATTTACAGTCTCATAATTCTGTTATAACATGCAGTGCATATCACCTGTTGACAGAGATGTTGAAGGAGCAGTTGTGGATGTTGCTAAAGTGGAAAATAACAAGAAAGAGAGGAAATCGTTTGAATGATGATAAACTCATTGACTAACAATCCAAAGGTTTTTTTTATCAGATTGTTTTGATTGACCACAATACATAATTCCTCAAAAATAGCAAATGATGTTGAATTGTAAGGTGAAATACCTGTTGTTTCTGTGGTTATGAATGGTGTTGTTGTTTCAAACGTAGTTGATTCTGAAGCAAAATAGAACAGTTAGAATGATAAATTTGTGAATATATGCAACATTTGTGATCTCACTGTTTCAAAGTAGTGCCTTGTAACATTGGGTGACTAAATGAATGTTTATGAACCATTTGCTATTTCTCTTAATTTTACAGAAGTCTGTAACTCTTGTTGGTGTTGCTGCTGTACTACATAAAAGTGAATGTGACACGCAAACAAATCATAATCCTAAAAAATTTAAAGCTCAGCACATATCGATTGCTTCTGGAATTTATAGTCGCACAATTATGTTTTAACATGTAGTGCATATTACCTGTTGACAGAGATGTTGAAGGAACAGTTGTGGATGTTGCTGAAGTGGAAAATAACAAGAAAGAGAGTAAAATGTTTGAACGATGACAAACGCAGTGTCTAACTATCCAACGGTTTGGTTTCACACACTTGACATTGACTACATTACACAATTCCTCAAAAATAGCAAATGATGTTGATTTGTGAGGTGAAATACCTGTTGTTTCTGTGGTTGTGTTTGGTGCTGTTGTTTGAAAGGGAGTTGAATCTAAAGCAAAATACAATATTTTGAATCATAAACTTGTCAATAAATGTATCATTTGTGAATTTGTTACAAAACTGAGGCTGTACCTGTTATTGATGGTGATGGTGTGTTAGATGTGGTTAAACCTGAAATAAAAGGATATCATGATCACGAAAATTTTGAGCACGACACATATAGATTTGTTTGAGATTATATAGTCAATTAATCATATTTTAACATTAGGTGCATTTTACATGTGGAAAGAGTGATTGAAGGAGATGTTCCTAAAGTGGAAAAAATACAGGAAAATATTTCAATGATATAAAGTGAGTGACTAACTATCCAAAGGTTCGTATCAGATTGTTTTGACTGACTACATTACATAATTCCTTAAAAATACAAATATGTGATTTGTACTTTGAAACACCTGTTGTTCCTGTGGTTATGAATGATGTTGTATAAAATGTAGTTGACTCCAAAGCAAAATACAGTAGTTGGAATGATATATTTGTCAACTTATGTAAGATTTGTGCACTCACTGTTTCAAAGTAGCGCATTGTAACTTTGGATGAGTAAGTAAATATTTATGAACCGTTTGCTATTTCTCTTAATTTTACAGAAGTAAGTTTGTAATAGGTAAATGTGAATCTGATACAGAAACAAATGAGAATGATAAAACATTTCAAGCTGAACCACATGTCGATTTCTTCTGGAATTTACAGTCTCATAATTATGTTATAACATGCAGTGCATATCACCTGTTGACAGAGATGTTGCTGAAGTGGAAAATAACAAGAAAGAGAGGAAATCGTTTGAATGATGATAAACTCATTGACTAACAATCCAAAGGTTTTTTTTTATCAGATTGTTTTGATTGACCACAATACATAATTCCTCAAAAATAGCAAATGATGTTGAATTGTAAGGTGAAATACCTGTTGTTTCTGTGGTTATGAATGGTGTTGTTGTTTCAAACGTGTTGATTCTGAAGCAAAATAGAATAGTTAGAATGATAAATTTGTGAATAATATAGCAACATTTGTGATCTCACTGTTTCAACGTAGTGCCTTATAACATTGGGTGATTAAATGAATATTTATGAACCATTTGCTATTTCTCTTAATTTTACAGAAGTCTGTAACTCTTGTTGGTGTTGCTGCTGTAGTACATAAAAGTGAATGTGACACGCAAACAAATCATAATCCTAAAAAATTTAAAGCTCAGCACATATCGATTGCTTCTGGAATTTATAGTCGCACAATTATGTTTTAACATGTAGTGCATATTACCTGTTGACAGAGATGTTGAAGGAACAGTTGTGGATGTTACTGAAGTGGAAAATAACAAGAAAGAGAGTAAAATGTTTGAACGATGACAAACTCAGTATCTAACTATCCAATGGTTTGGTTTCACACACTTGAGATTGACTACATTATACAATTCCTCAAAAATAGCAAATGATGTTGATTTGTAAGGTGAAATACCTGTTGTTTCTATGGTTGTGTTTGGTGCTGTTGTTTCAAATGGAGTTGAATCTAAAGCAAAATACAATATTTTGAATCATAAACTTGTCAATAAATGTATCATTTGTGAACTCATTGTTTCAAAGAAGTGCATTGTAACATTTGGTGAGAAGATAAATGTTGATGAACAATTTGCTATTTCTCTTAATTTTACAGTGATTCCATACCTGTAGTTGGTGGTGATGTTGTAACAGGTAAAGTTGAATCTGATACACAATGAGATCAGAATCATGAAAATATCAAGCGCAGGAAATATCAATTGAAATTAGCATTTACAGTCTCATAATTATGTTTCAAAATGCAGTGCATGTTACCTGTCGACAGAGATGTTGAAGGACCAGTTGTGGATGTTGCTGAAGAGGAAAATAACAAGAAAGAGAGAAGAATGTTGGAACGATGACAAACTCAGTGCCTAACTTTCCAACGGTTTAGTTTCACATACTTGACATTGACTATATTACATCATTCTTTAAAAAATAGCAAATGATGTTGATTTGTAAGGTGAAATACCTGTTGTTTCTATGGTTGTGATTGGTGCTGTTGTTTCAAATGGAGTTGAATCTAAAGCAAAGGACAATATTCAGAATCATAAACTTGTCAATCATTTGTGAATTTGTTGTTTCAAAGAAGTGCATTGTAACATTCGGTGAGTCAATAAATGATGATGAACAAATTGCTATTTCTGTTAATTTTACAGTGAGGCTATACCTGTAGATGGTGGTGATGTTGTAACAGGTACAGTTGAATCTGATACACAATGAAATCAGAATCATGAAAATATCAAGCGCAACCAATATCAATTGGTTTTAGCATTTACAGTCTTCATAATTATGTTTCAAAATGCAGTGCATATTACCTGTCGACAGAGATGTTGAAGGAACAGTTGTGGATGTTGCTAAAGTAGAAAATAACAAGAAAGAGAGGAAAATGTTTGAACGATGACAAACTCAGTGTCTAACTATCCAACGGTTTGGTTTCACACACTTGACATTGACTGCATTACATAATTCTTCAAACATAGCAAATGGTGTTGATTTTTAAGGTGAAATACCTGTTGTTTCTATGGTTGTGATTGGGACTGCTGTTTCAAATAGAGTTGAATCTAAAGCAAAATACAATATTTTGAATCATAAACTTGTCAATAAATGTATCATTTGTGAATTCGTTGTTTGAAAGAAGTGCATTGTAACATTCGGTGAGTCAATAAATGTTGATGAACAATTTGCTATTTCTCTTAATTTTACATTGAGTCCATACCTGTAGTTGGTGGTGATGTTGTAACAGGTAAAGTTGAATCTGATACACAATGAGATCAGAATCATGAAAATATCAAGCGCAGGAAATATCAATTGAAATTAGCATTTACAGTCTCATAATTATGTTTCAAAATGCAGTGCATGTTACCTGTCGACAGAGATGTTGAAGGACCAGTTGTGGATGTTGCTGAAGAGGAAAATAACAAGAAAGAGAGAAGAATGTTCGAACGATGACAAACTCAGTGCCTGACTTTCCAACGGTTTAGTTTCACATACTTGACATTGACTATATTACATCATTCTTTAAAAATAGCAAATGATGTTGATTGTAAGGTGAATACCTGTTGTTTCTATGGTTGTGATTGGTGCTGTTGTTTCAAATGGATTGAATCTAAAGCAAAAATACAATATTCAGAATCATAAACTTGTCAATCATTTGTGAATTCGTTGTTTCAAAGAATTGCATTGTAACATTCGGTGAGTAAATAAATGTTGATGAACAAATTGCTATTTCTCTCAATTTTACATTGAGTCCATACCTGTAGTTGGCGGTGCTGTTGTAACAGGTAAAGTAGAATCTGATACACAATGAAATCAGAATCATGAAAATATCAAGCGCAACCAATATCAATTGCTTTTAGCATTTACAGTCTCATAATTATGTTTCAAAATGCAGTGCATGTTACCTGTCGACAGAGATGTTGAAGGACCAGTTGTGGATGTTGCTGAAGAGGAAAATAACAAGAAAGGGAGGAAAATGTTTGAATGATGAAAAACTCAGTGACTGACTATCCAACGGTTTGGTTTCACACTCACATCGACTACATTACATAATTCTTGAAAAATAGCAAATGATGTTGATTTGTAAGGTGAAATACCTGTTGTTTCTATGGTTGTGATTGGGACTGTTGTTTCAAATGGAGTTGAATCTAAAGCAAAATACAATATTTTGAATCATAAACTTGTCAATCATTTGTGAATTCGTTGTTTCAAAGAAGTGCATTGTAACATTCGGTGAGTAAATAAATGATGATGAACAAATTGCTATTTCTGTTAATTTTACAGTGAGGCTAGACCTGTAGATGGTGGTGATGTTGTAACAGGTACAGTTGAATCTGATACACAATGAAATCAGAATCATGAAAATATCAAGCGCAACCAATATCAATTGGTTTTAGCATTTACAGTCTTCATAATTATGTTTCAAAATGCAGTGCATATTACCTGTCGACAGAGATGTTGAAGGAACAGTTGTGGATGTTGCTAAAGTAGAAAATAACAAGAAAGAGAGGAAAATGTTTGAACGATGACAAACTCAGTGTCTAACTATCCAACGGTTTGGTTTCACACACTTGACATTGACTCATTACATAATTCTTCAAAATAGCAAATGGTGTTGATTTTTAAGGTGAAATACCTGTTGTTTCTATGGTTGTGATTGGGACTGCTGTTTCAAATAGAGTTGAATCTAAAGCAAAATACAATATTTTGAATCATAAACTTGTCAATAAATGTATCATTTGTGAATTCGTTGTTTGAAAGAAGTGCATTGTAACATTCGGTGAGTCAATAAATGTTGATGAACAATTTGCTATTTCTCTTAATTTTACATTGAGTCCATACCTGTAGTTGGTGGTGATGTTGTAACAGGTAAAGTTGAATCTGATACACAATGAGATCAGAATCATGAAAATATCAAGCGCAGGAAATATCAATTGAAATTAGCATTTACAGTCTCATAATTATGTTTCAAAATGCAGTGCATGTTACCTGTCGACAGAGATGTTGAAGGACCAGTTGTGGATGTTGCTGAAGAGGAAAATAACAAGAAAGAGAGAAGAATGTTCGAACGATGACAAACTCAGTGCCTAACTTTCCAACGGTTTAGTTTCACATACTTGACATTGACTATATTACATCATTCTTTAAAAATAGCAAATGATGTTGATTTGTAAGGTGAAATACCTGTTGTTTCTATGGTTGTGATTGGTGCTGTTGTTTCAAATGGAGTTGAATCTAAAGCAAAATACAATATTCAGAATCATAAACTTGTCAATCATTTGTGAATTCGTTGTTTCAAAGAATTGCATTGTAACATTCGGTGAGTAAATAAATGATGATGAACAAATTGCTATTTCTGTTAATTTTACAGTGAGGCTAGACCTGTAGATGGTGGTGATGTTGTAACAGGTAAAGTTGAATCTGATACACAATGAAATCAGAATCATGAAAATATCAAGCGCAACCAATATCAATTGGTTTTAGCATTTACAGTCTCATAATTATGTTTCAAAATGCAGTGCATATTACCTGTCGACAGAGATGTTGAAGGACAGTTGTGGATGTTGCTAAAGTAGAAAATAACAAGAAAGAGAGGAAAATGTTTGAACGATGACAAACTCAGTGTCTAACTATCCAACGGTTTGGTTTCACAACTTGACATGACTGCATTACATAATTCTTCAAAAATAGCAAATGGTGTTGATTTTAAGGTGAAATACCTGTTGTTTCTATGGTTGTGATTGGGACTGCTGTTTCAAATAGAGTTGAATCTAAAGCAAAATACAATATTTTGAATCATAAACTTGTCAATAAATGTATCATTTGTGAATTTGTTGTTTGAAAGAAGTGCATTGTAACATTCGGTGAGTCAATAAATGTTGATGAACAATTTGCTATTTCTCTTAATTTTACATTGAGTCCATACCTGTAGTTGGTGGTGATGTTGTAACAGGTAAAGTTGAATCTGATACACAATGAATCAGAATCATGAAAATATCAAGCGCAGAAATATCAATTGATTAGCATTTACAGTCTCATAATTATGTTTCAAAATGCAGTGCATGTTACCTGTCGACAGAGATGTTGAAGGACCAGTTGTGGATGTTGCTGAAGAGGAAAATAACAAGAAAGAGAGAAAATGTTTGAACGATGACAAACTCAGTGCTAACTATCCAACGGTTTGGTTTCACATACTTGACATTGACTAATTACATAATTCTTAAAAATAGCAAATGGTGTTGATTTGTAAGGTGAAATACCTGTTGTTTCTATGGTTGTGATTGGGCTGTTGTTTCAAATGGAGTTGAATCTAAAGCAAAATACAATATTTGAATCATAAACTTGTCAATCATTTGTGAATTCGTTGTTTCAAAGAAGTGCATTGTAACATTCGGTGAGTCAATAAATGTTGATGAACAATTTGCTATTTCTCTTAATTTTACATTGAGTCCATACCTGTAGTTGGTGGTGATGTTGTAACAGGTAAAGTTGAATCTGATACACAATGAATCAGAATCATGAAAATATCAAGCGCAGAAATATACAATTGAATTTAGCATTTACAGTCTCATAATTATGTTTCAAAATGCAGTGCATGTTACCTGTCGACAGAGATGTTGAAGGACCAGTTGTGGATGTTGCTGAAGAGGAAAATAACAAGAAAGAGAGAAGAATGTTCGAACGATGACAAACTCAGTGCCTAACTTTCCAACGGTTTAGTTTCACATACTTGACATTGACTATATTACATCATTCTTTAAAAATAGCAAATGATGTTGATTTGTAAGGTGAAATACCTGTTGTTTCTATGGTTGTGATTGGTGCTGTTGTTTCAAATGGAGTTGAATCTAAAGCAAAATACAATATTCAGAATCATAAACTTGTCAATCATTTGTGAATTCGTTGTTTCAAAGAATTGCATTGTAACATTCGGTGAGTAAATAAATGTTGATGAACAAATTGCTATTTCTCTCAATTTTACATTGAGTCCATACCTGTAGTTGGCGGTGCTGTTGTAACAGGTAAAGTAGAATCTGATACACAATGAAATCAGAATCATGAAAATATCAAGTGCAACCAATATCAATTGCTTTTAGCATTTACAGTCTCATAATTATGTTTCAAAATGCAGTGCATATTACCTGTCGACAGAGATGTTGAAGGACCAGTTGTGGATGTTGCTGAAGAGGAAAATAACAAGAAAGAGAGGAAAATGTTTGAACGATGAAAAACTCTGTGGCTATCCAACGGTTGGTTTCACACTCACATCGACGACATTACATAATTCTTCAAAAATAGCAAATGATGTTGATTTGTAAGGTGAGATACCTGTTTTCTATGGTTGTGATTGGGACTGTTGTTTCAAATGGAGTTGAATCTAAAGCAAAATACAATATTTTGAATCATAAACTTGTCAATAAATGTATCATTTGTGAATTCGTTGTTTCAAAGAAGTGCATTGTAACATTCGGTGAGTAAATAAATGATGATGAACAAATTGCTATTTCTGTTAATTTTACAGTGAGGCTAGACCTGTAGATGGTGGTGATGTTGTAACAGGTACAGTTGAATCTGATACACAATGAAATCAGAATCATGAAAATATCAAGCGCAACCAATATCAATTGGTTTTAGCATTTACAGTCTTCATAATTATGTTTCAAAATGCAGTGCATATTACCTGTCGACAGAGATGTTGAAGGAACAGTTGTGGATGTTGCTAAAGTAGAAAATAACAATAAAGAGAGGAAAATGTTTGAACGATGACAAACTCAGTGTCTAACTATCCAACGGTTTGGTTTCACATACTTGACATTGACTCCATTACATAATTCTTCAAAAATAGCAAATGGTGTTGATTTTTAAGGTGAAATACCTGTTGTTTCTATGGTTGTGATTGGGACTGCTGTTTCAAATAGAGTTGAATCTAAAGCAAAATACAATATTTTGAATCATAAACTTGTCAATAAATGTATCATTTGTGAATTTGTTGTTTGAAAGAAGTGCATTGTAACATTCGGTGAGTCAATAAATGTTGATGAACAATTTGCTATTTCTCTTAATTTTACATTGAGTCCATACCTGTAGTTGGTGGTGATGTTGTAACAGGTAAAGTTGAATCTGATACACAATGAGATCAGAATCATGAAAATATCAAGCGCAGGAAATATCAATTGAAATTAGCATTTACAGTCTCATAATTATGTTTCAAAATGCAGTGCATGTTACCTGTCGACAGAGATGTTGAAGGACCAGTTGTGGATGTTGCTGAAGAGGAAAATAACAAGAAAGAGAGAAGAATGTTTGAACGATGACAAACTCAGTGCCTAACTTTCCAACGGTTTAGTTTCACATACTTGACATTGACTATATTACATCATTCTTTAAAAATAGCAAATGATGTTGATTTGTAAGGTGAAATACCTGTTGTTTCTATGGTTGTGATTGGTGCTGTTGTTTCAAATGGAGTTGAATCTAAAGCAAAATACAATATTCAGAATCATAAACTTGTCAATCATTTGTGAATTCGTTGTTTCAAAGAATTGCATTGTAACATTCGGTGAGTAAATAAATGTTGATGAACAAATTGCTATTTCTCTCAATTTTACATTGAGTCCATACCTGTAGTTGGCGGTGCTGTTGTAACAGGTAAAGTAGAATCTGATACACAATGAAATCAGAATCATGAAAATATCAAGCGCTACAAATATCAATTGCTTTTAGCATTTACAGTCTCATAATTATGTTTCAAAATGCAGTGCATATTACCTGTCGACAGAGATGTTGAAGGACCAGTTGTGGATGTTGCTGAAGAGGAAAATAACAAGAAAGAGAGGAAAATGTTTGAACGATGAAAAACTCTGTGGCTATCCAACGGTTGGTTTCACACTCACATCGACGACATTACATAATTCTTCAAAAATAGCAAATGATGTTGATTTGTAAGGTGAGATACCTGTTTCTGTGGTTGTGATTGGTACTGTTGTTTCAAATGGAGTTGAATCTAAAGCAAAATACAATATTTTGAATCATAAACTTGTCAATAAATGTATCATTTGTGAATTTGTTGTTTGAAAGTAGTGCATTGTAACATCCGGTGAGTAAATAAATGTTGATGAACAATTTGCTATTTCTCTCAATTTTACATTGAGTCCATACCTGTAGTTGGCGGTGCTGTTGTAACAGGTAAAGTTGAATCTGATACACAATGAAATCAGAATCATGAAAATATCAAGCGCAACCAATATCAATTGGTTTTAGCATTTACAGTCTTCATAATTATGTTTCAAACTGCAGTGCATATTACCTGTTGACCGAGATGTTGAAGGAACAGTTGTGGATGTTGCTGAAGAGGAAAATAACAAGAAAGAGAGAAGAATGTTTGAACGATGACAAACTCAGTGCCTGACTTTCCAACGGTTTAGTTTCACATACTTGACATTGACTATATTACATCATTCTTTAAAAATAGCAAATGATGTTGATTTGTAAGGTGAAATACCTGTTGTTTCTATGGTTGTGATTGGTGCTGTTGTTTCAAATGGAGTTGAATCTAAAGCAAAAGATAATATTCAGAATCATAAACTTGTCAATCATTTGTGAATTCGTTGTTTCAAAGAAATGCATTGTAACATTCGGTGAGTAAATAAATGATGATGAACAAATTGCTATTTCTGTTAATTTTACAATGAGGCTATACCTGTAGATGGTGGTGATGTTGTAACAGGTAGAGTTGAATCTGATACACAATGAAATCAGAATCATGAAAATATCAAGCGCAACCAATATCAATTGGTTTTAGCATTTACAGTCTTCATAATTATGTTTCAAAACCCAGTGCATGTTACCTGTCGACAGAGATGTTGAAGGAACAGTTGTGGATGTTGCTAAAGTAGAAAATAACAAGAAAGAGAGGAAAATGTTTGAACGATGACAAACTCAGTGTCTAACTATCCAACGGTTTGGTTTCACATACTTGACATTGACTGCATTACATAATTCTTCAAAACTAGCAAATGGTGTTGATTTTTAAAGATTGAAATACCTGTTGTTCCTATGGTTGTGATTGGGACTGTTGTTTCAAATGGAGTTGAATCTAAAGCAAAATACAATATTTTGAATCATAAACTTGTCAATAAATATATCATTTGTGAATTCGTTGTTTGAAAGAAGTGCATTGTAACATTCGGTGAGTCAATAAATGTTGATGAACAATTTGCTATTTCTCTTAATTTTACATTGAGTCCATACCTGTAGTTGGTGGTGATGTTGTAACAGGTAAAGTTGAATCTGATACACAATGAGATCAGAATCATGAAAATATCAAGCGCAGGAAATATCAATTGAAATTAGCATTTACAGTCTCATAATTATGTTTCAAAATGCAGTGCATGTTACCTGTCGACAGAGATGTTGAAGGACCAGTTGTGGATGTTGCTGAAGAGGAAAATAACAAGAAAGAGAGAAGAATGTTCGAACGATGACAAACTCAGTGCCTAACTTTCCAACGGTTTAGTTTCACATACTTGACATTGACTACATTACATAATTCTTTAAAAATAGCAAATGATGTTGATTTGTAAGGTGAAATACCTGTTGTTTCTATGGTTGTGATTGGTGCTGTTGTTTCAAATGGAGTTGAATCTAAAGCAAAATACAATATTCTGAATCATAAATTTGTCAATCATTTGTGAATTCGTTGTTTCAAAGAAATGCATTGTAACATTCGGTGAGTCAATAAATGTTGATGAACAATTTGCTATTTCTCTTAATTTTACAGTGAGGCTATACCTGTAGTTGGTGGTGATGTTGTAACAGGTAAAGTTGAATCTGATACACAATGAAATCAGAATCATGAAAATATCAAGTGCAACAAATATCAATTGCTTTTAGCATTTATAGTCTCATAATTATGTTTCAACATGCAGTGCATATTACCTGTCAACAGAGATGTTGAAGGAACAGTTGTGGATGTTGCTAAAGTAGAAAATAACAAGAAAGAGAGGAAAATGTTTGAATGATAACAAACTCTGACTAACTATCCAACAGTTTTGTATCACACACTTGACATTGACCACATTGCATTATTCCTCAAAAATTAGAAATTATGTTGGTTTGTAGTTTGAAATACCTGTTGTTTCTGTGGTTATGATTGGTATTGTTTCAAACGTAGTTGACGCTAAAGCAAAATACTATAGTTGGAATAATTAATTCGTCAATATATGTAGTATTTGTGAACTCAATGTTTCAAAATAGTGCATTGCAACATTGGGTGAGTAAATAAATGTTTCTGAACCATTTACTGTTTCGTTTAGTTTTACAAAAGTGAGGCTGTACCTGTTGTTGGTGATAATGTTGTGTTCAGTGCAGTTGAATCTGAAACGCAACAATGTCACGATGAGGAAGATTTGGAGCACGAAACATATTAGTTTGTTTTAGCTTACTTTGTCAATTAATCATATTTTAACTTTACAACAACAACAACAACTTGGATTTAACAACTTGGGACAGCATCTCAGAGCGCTTCACAGTAACAGATCCCGGGGCTGAGCCAGGTGGAGGGGGAGGAAGGTGACCAAAGGTGCGGTCGAAAAGAAAGGTCTTCAGCCAAGACCTGAAAATATTAAGAGAGGGGATGAGGCGAAGGGAATGAGGAAGGGAGTTCCAGAGTCTTGGGGCATAGTGGCTGAAGGCACGGCCGCCGAAGGTGGAGCGGAGAACTCGGTGCATTAGCTGCATTTGACATGTTGACAAAGGGGTTGAATGAGCACTAGAGTATGTTCCTAAAGTGGAAAAAAGATAGGAAAACGTTTGAATGAAGATAAACTCACTGACTAACTATTCAACGGTTTTGTAATTTTCAGTTTTAAATACCTGTTGTTTTTGTGGTTAGGAATGGTGTTGTTGTTTCAAACGTAGTTGACTCTAAAACAAAACACAATAGTTGGAATGATAAATTAGTCCATAAATGTAAAATTTGTGAACTCACTGTTTCAAAGTCGTGCATTGTAACTTTGGGTGAATAAGTAAATATTCACGAACCATTTGCTATTACTCTTAATTTTGCAGATTTAAGTCTGTAACGCTTGTTAGTGGAGCTGCTGTCATAGGTAATGGTGAATGTGATACACCAACAAATCAGAATCATAAAAAACTGAAAGCTCAACACATATCGATTGCTTTTGGAATTTATAGTCTCATAATTATGTTTTAAACTGCAGTGCATTTTGTGTTGACAGAGGTGTTGAAAGAACAGTTGCAGATATTACTGAAGTAGAAAATAAAGAGAGAGGAAAACGTTTGATAAACTCAGTGACTAACAATTCAACTGTTTTGAATCAGTTTGTTTTGATTGACTACATTACATAATTACTCAAAAATAGCAAATGATGTCAATTTGTAAGGTGAAATATCTGTTGTTATTGTGGTTATGAATGGTGTTGTTCCAAACGTAGTTGACTCCAAAGCAAAATAGAATAATTGGAATGATAAATTTGTCAATACATATAACATTTGTGAACTCACTGTCTCAAATTAACGCATTGTAACATTGGGTGAGTAAGTAAATGTTGATGAACCTTTTGCTATTTATCTTAATTTTACAGTGAGGCTGTACCTGTAGTTGGCGGTGCTGTTGTAACAGGTAAAGTTGAATCTGATACACAATGAAATCAGAATCATGAAAATATCAAGCGCAACCAATATCAATTGGTTTTAGCATTTACAATCTGATAATTATGTTTCAAAATGCAGTGCATATTACCTGTCAACAGAGATGTTGAAGGACCAGCTGTGGATGTTGCTGAAGAGGAAAATAACAAGAAAGAGAGGAAAACGTTTGAATGATGACAAACTCAGTGACTAACTTTCCAATGGTTTTGTATCACATACTTGACATTGACTGCATTACACAATTCCTCAAAGATTAGAAATTGTCTTGATTTGTAGTTTGAAATATCTTTTGTTTCTGTGGTTATGAATGGTGTTGTTTCAAACGTAGTTGACTCTAAAGCAAAATGCAATAGTTGGAATGATAAATTTGTCAATATATATAACATTTGTGAACTCACTATTTCAAAGTAGTGCATCGTAACATTGGGCGAGTAAGTAAATGTTTATGAACTATTTACTTTTTCTCTTAATTTTACAAAAGTGAGGTTGCACCTGTTGTTGGTGGTGATGTGGTAGTAGGTAAAGCTGAATCTGATACACAAATAAATCATAAAAACTCAACTCATATCGATTGCTCTTATAATTTACAATCTCATAATTGTGTTTCAACATGCAGTGCATATTACTTTTTGACAGAGATGTTGAAGGAGCAGTTGTGGATGCTGCTAAAATGGAAAATAACAAGAAAGAGAGGGAAACGTTTGAATGATGATTAACTGAGTGACTAACTATCCAATGGTTTTGTCTCGGATTGTTTTGATTGACTACATGACATAATTCTTGATAAATAAGAAATTATGTTGATCTGTTGGGTGAAATACCTGTTTGTTAATTTGTCAATAAATGTTACATCTGTGAACTCACTGTTTCAAAGTTGGAGTATTGCAACATTTTTTGGGTGAGTTAAGTACATTTTTCTGAACCATTTTCTATCTCCCTTTATTTTACAGAAGTGAGGCTGTATCTGTTGTGGATGGTGATGTTGTGTTAGGTGTAGTTGTAACTGAAATACAATGAAATCAGAATCATGTTTCTGTCCCTAATCTTCTATAACCCCGAGGCAAGGAGGCACTGATAGTATCCTGACATGAAAGGCGCTCTATAAATGAAATCTTGTTGTTGTTGTATCCAATCAGAATGTCTCAAAAAATAATTCATCATTTGGTTTGTGGACGTTACTGGCTGCGCAATCATTTATTGGCCATTGCTAGTTTTTGCTGCCCTTTCTCTTTAAACTGCTGCAGTCCTCACGGTGTTGGTGTGAAGTTCAAGGATTTTCATTCAGCGACAAAGTGATAAATGTCCAAATTAGAACATTATGTTATTTGGAGGACCATTTGGAGGTGCATGATGCTACTGGCGTAGTTATTCTGGATGACAGAGGTCACTTGACCACTGCAGTGGTGAACGCAGCAGTGAAGTAAGAGTATTGTGCTGTATTTTGAAGGCAAGGAGAGGCGTAGCAAGACAAATGGATTCGAAAGAGTTTCACACAACAAGGACATGGAAGATGAAGGCTTGGCTACTGATAATGGGAGTGAGTCATCTGAGAAGAAAACAATAACCAGAGCTGGAAAATCAGCAGGTAGAATCTGGAATGTAGGGCTGCCGATTTTACATGCACCATAGGTGAGACAGTTGAGGCAGTTAATCTAAAGCATAGTGGACTTGAAGTGGTGAAATTTGGGTATGCTGAGAATAAGAGTTGGAAAAGGTGCTCTGTTATTCAGAGAAGTTCATAAGTAAGCTAAGCAAGTAAAGTAAGATACATTAAGTGTCAAAAGTTAAGTAAGATAAAAGAAGGAAGTGAGTGGAGACTCCTTGATGCTGAGTTGACATGCTTGGAATCAAACCAAGTGGAGATAAATTTGTGGAGTCCTGTAGTTCAGTGGTTAGAGCACTTGCTTTGCAAGTGAGAGACCTGAGTTCAATTCCAGGCAGAGGGCGAAACCTTGGGCAATTTTCCTTACTCCACACAGAGCCTAATAATAATCCCTCCAAAACCAAAAACAATAATAAAATTGGTCATTTTCAATCTTCGACTGTTTGTGGGACGTTGCTGTGAAGCGCTTTGGGACGTCCTCCCGACGTGAAAAGCACTATATCAAATGCAAGGATTATTATTATTATTATTATTATAAACCAACCCTCTGTAATATTCTTAGCAGTTCAGTTCCTGAACCAGCCAGGTTTGTAGTACTTTGCAGGATGACCAGCCATCGTGGCTCATCAGCAGGATTTGGAATGACCACTGGGCAAGGATTCTTCCCACTCATATTCTATTAATCCTGCAAATTAAATCCCCAATGGATAGGATGGTCCTGGCTGAACAAGGAGCAGGAAGCTTGCTGGACAGGACTCTCAATAGCAACCTATGTGGTTCAGCTGGTCAAACACCAGAAATACTCCAACACTAGGGATCCCAAGTCTTGGTCTGTGCCAAAGTGTACCTAGCACTCCCCAGAACTAGGTAAGATACATTGTGGAGTCCTGTAGCTCAATAGTTGGAGCACTCACCTCGCAAGCAAGAAACCTATGTTCGATTCCTGGCAAGGCGGTATGTTGGGCAAATTTTCTTACTCCACACACCTGTTTACCTCGCAGTAAGTACGAACCTGGTTGTTGGTCGATTGGCAGATCGCTTTTCCAGGGATAATAATTCTTCCCCAAAAAATGATTTGGTCATTCAATCCACGACTGTTTGTGGGATACTGCTGTGCGCAAATGGATGCCGCGTTTCGCCAAATATAGTCAATTCACTTTACAGTATATTCTGTGAAGCGCTTTAAGATGTCTAGAAGATGTGGAAAGCGCTATATCAAATACAAGGATTATTATTTATTAAATGCAATACTTTAACAATGCTAAAAAGATGATTTTCTTCTTTGAATGTCAGACTACTCATTTAACCTATTATTAACTATGATGCTTGGGGCAACAGCTGCCAGAAGGCGTTACCTGGAGTCCGAGTTGGTGATCTCCTCTCAAGACCCTCATCTTCACCCATGCCTTCGGTCACCCTCCTACGCCTACCCGCTCTCCTACCCCTACCCGCCCTCCAACCCTCCTGATCCCAACCACATGCTCGGGAGCGGATGACTAACTATCCTGCACCTTGGTACGTCCTCCTGATGTGAAAGGTGCTATACAAATATAATCTGTTGTTGGTCTTGTTGATCACACGTTCGTACATCAGCACCTGGAATCCACGTTGATTGGCTTGCAGGGAGGCAAGCAACTGCTGCTTAAACTCTGCACCTCCAATTGGTGGAACCATCGTTCAATAGGAAGTGACATGTGCCCGAGCTGCGGCAGAAAGATGGTGACAATGCTATCACTGGTACCTATCACCCACCCACTGAGGGCTCAAACCCGTGCTTGTCGGATGTCAAATGACCAACTATGCTCCTTGGGGGGTGATAAGCATGGTCTTCTTGGAGCTGAATTGGCTCCAAAATGACATGTTTGGCAGCAGAATGTCAGAATTGAGCTAGCACTCTGTGACAGTCTTGATAGTCTGGTTCCTGAGCCAGGCAGGTCCGCAGTAGTCCAGGGCACTGCTTACCAAACCTGTATATAACCTTGGTGTCAGATTCGATCCACATCTGTCCTTCCTCCCCCATATCCGGTCCCTAACTCAAACTGCTTTCATCCCCAAGACAACTGAAACCTTCTATGCCTTGGTCACCTCCCACCTCGCCGGTCTCGCCAGCTCTACTACCCACAAACTACACCTGAAATAGAACTACCCCACCCACATTTTCACCCATACAATCTTTTATACCCCTATCACACCAGTCCTTGCCAGGCTCCATTAGCTCCCTATCACAGAAAGGATCAATTTCAACATCTTCTCACTCATCTACAAATCACTTCAGGCCCTAACATCTCCCTACCTTTCTGACCTGACCTACTCCACTACCTTCGCTCAGCTGGCTCTTATCTCATACTTTTCCCTCGTCCCCTCCGCTCCACCATCGGCAGCCGTGCTTTCAGCCATTATGCCCCGAAGCTTTGGAAGCTTTTGAAAAAAACACACTGAAAACTTGTTAATTCAGTGATAGTATCAGCAGTTCTATCTTGCTGTGAGAGTTACAGACAATACTGAAAAACGCCAGATTTGCTCACCTGTTGTCAATGAATGAATGGAGCTCTTAATGGACAGTAGAAGGAAGGGATAAATCCACAGGAATATTTTTTCCATGTTAATATTATCTTGAATCCAGTCTAGACAAACCTATTTGAAGTTATGAACCAAATTTATGTTACTGAGTTCCTTGCTGCATTCCTCTGACCTTGAGAATCTCACTGGATTTTTTTTGTGACGTGTTTGTTAATTTTTGACTTACCTGCCCACATTCCAGAGGTGGGCCCATCTATTATGTCAGATTGTTCTGAGCTTCAAGAATCATTGCAGAGTTTATGGTCAAACCGGTTTCTGTCTGTTGTTTTGAGAAGATAATTTACCATTGAAGAACTACAGGTCCACCGCAGTGTATTGCCTGCAGGAATTTTAACACCACCTTCAGGGCTTGAATTTAAAGATGATCCAATAGAGCATATTTATTTCTGCCGTACATCCGGCAGAAAATGGCCAAACCTGGAAAAACAAACAGATTTGCAAGAAATCACATGACTCTAGCATGATTCATTGATTCAAGACGCCTCCCACCCACTCCTGCTAAAAAGTCACGGGCCACAAAGCAAGAAAGAAATAAAGAAAGAATAAAATCCATCAAAAAAAAAATCCTCTAACCAATTGTAAATTATTCACTGGGTAACCCCATTATATAGTCCCCTAGACTTATGGTTAGTTTACCTGCTTATGGTAAATGTACAAATCAGGCCTGAGCTTATTGACAAGGTACTTAAACTAGTTCCGTATTCCAGTTTCTCTGTTCCTCAATGTGAGAGCAGATCAAATTCCTCAGATCAGACCTATAACAATGCCAATCCCAGACAACAGAGGGCCGAAAGCATAGCTCACTTGACATAAGGTCAGCTTCCCATAAATGCATCATGAAGAGGTTCAAATTATGGTATCCTTTATTATCGAACCTCAAAAGCAGCTGCAGGCTCACAGCGCCGGGAATAACTGAGAAGAACAGATACTACACTTGATTTTAGCCAAAAGTCAGAGAAATTAATCTAATCTTTTCTTATAGTTTAATCTTTAGTTTATCCTCTGTTTATCGTTAATCATTCATCTCCTCTGCCATTAAGGCTCGATCACCCTCCCCCACCCTCCCACGTCACAATGACCAGAATTGTGTGTGGTTCTCCACTTACATATTGTGAAAGATAAATTCCCCTTCTAATATTACTATACCTCTTTCCTTCTCTATAGAGTGAATTCATTATTTTAGATTTGTTTCCTTTCAGTAAACATAATGATTGCAGGTTACTCAATGTATTGTGTATAAAGATATCGCATGTCAGGAAATTTATCACCCAACCAGTTTCAAACTGGAAACCAGGTTTTTTCCTGGAACTGTCAATGCAGTAACTGAATCCTCAAAGCCATTCAAGGCCCAAAATTCTAGCAGTCAAATATTGCTAGAGTTAATGTTAGTTTACAAATGTATATTTGTGCTGTAGGAGGTACCCAAAGCTGGAGCACAGATTCATTCAACCCGACTTGCAAACAGCAAATTATTGGAATCTTGGCATGTTCAGTTTGCTTCAAAAATCATTTTAGCTGTCCATGATACCTTTACCCTGCATATTGTGTCATGAGAACATACCAGTTCATCCTGCACAGTAGCCTTGAATAAGACAAGATGCTTTAAAACACGTCCGCACAAGTCATGGTGTCCTGGATTCGATTCCTCCACGGCCTTGCTCCTCCCTACCTCCATGACCTCCTAACCCCCTACCAACTTGTCTGCACCCTCTGCTCAGCAGGCTCCGGCCTGTTTCACGTTCCCCTGCCTTGCCTGTCCCACCATTGGCGGGTGGGCCTTCAGCCTTTCTGCCCCCACCCTCTGGAACTCCATCCCACAGTCCCTCCGCCTCGCCCCCTCCCTTTGCCTCCTTCAAGACCTGTCTGAAGACCCTCTTCTTCGATCGTGCCTTCGGTCACCCACAAATCCCTACTCTCCTCACCCTTCACCCCTCCTGATCCCAACCACCAGCTCGGGTGTGGATCCCTGACTGTCCAGCACTTTGGGGCATCCCGTGAAAGGCACTATACAAACGTAATTTTTTGTTGTTGTTCTGCATTTTGCACTGGATTGGACTTTGTGAATGTGTCCAGTTCAAGGTGAAAATCAGGGAGGGGACAACAAACATCTTGATTGTGGGCATTGTAGAGACATACATTCCTCAATTTAAGAAATATATGTGGTTGAGTTGAGCTGTGAGCCATCAATAAGCTATCAGGAAACTGCAAAGCCTGACATCAAAGCAAAGTTCCGGTAAATAAGGACGAAATCTTGTATGGCAAGATACACCAGTTTCAGCTTCTGAAGGGAAGTCAACTGTGTATCTGCCCAAGCTGAATGTTTCTATAACTGGTTTGTTTGCCAAAAGTGCTTTAGACGTCTCAGTTATCAAATACAAATTTACATTGTTTGTGCCATATTCCACCTCTTGTATATTCATGTGATACTTCAAACCTATTGGAACGATCGGAAAACACTACTACACTACTACTAATAATAACTAATCAACCCTGTTTATGTTCCAGGAAGACTTGGTAAAGGATCAAACACCATGACAAAACCCAGAACAATACTTCCAGATGCACCAAGATAAGAGGGCATAGGTTTAGTGTTGCAAAGGGCAACATCAAGATACCAGGAATTATTTTTTTTCTCAGAGGGCAATTAATGACTGAAGAATCATTCAGTCATTGAAGAATCAGGAAGAATGATTGAGGCCAGGATGCAGGACTCATTTAAAATGGCTTGATGTTGTAATGAGAAGATAGTAGAGTAGGTATTCTAGAGATCACTTCGACTGAAGGGCTATCCTGAGAACCAATCTTGTGAACACAGAGGTAGTTTTTTAATATAGGCTATTGGCCACCAGGTGGCAGCAGATGTGAACAGGTAAGTGGTTGCTATCCGAACAGATCCTAATTGTCATTTTTTGATCTGATGGAGTTAATGTTTTTTTAAAAAATCTCATGCCGTGCATTGAGTGTTTAGATTTTTTCCTTAAATACTTATTGTCCAGCAATGATTTGTTAAAGAGGGCTGAAATCTCAGACAAAAAATAACTTAGATCTTCTGAATAATAATAATAATAAACCTTGCATTTGATAGAACGCTTTTCAAGTCTTCCAGACATCTCAAAGCGCTTCACAGAATTCGCTGCAAAGTGGATTGACCGTATATTTGTGGGCGAAACACGGCAGCCAATTGCGCACAGCAGTGTCCCCCAAACAGTCATGGATTGAAAATGACCAATTTATTATTGCTTTGTTTTGGAGGGCTTACTATTAGACGTGTGTAGTAAGGAAACTTGCCCAAGGTTTCGTCCTGCCTGGAATTAAACCCAGGTGTCTCGCTTGCAAGGCGAGTGCTCTAACCACTGAGCTGCAAGTCTCCATAGAATATTTAATAATAATAATCCTTGCATTTGATATAGCATCTTATGACATGTTTGAGACAGCTCAAAGTGCTTCACAGAAGATACTGTTCCAGGATTCCATGCCCCCAGCTACTTCTCTGCGTTTCCAAGTTCTGACGATGAGCCAGCTTGCTGTGCTGTCATCAGCAACGCCTTGGAGTACTGCGAATAAATAAAAATCACTCATCTCAAGGGCAAAATAATGTTGCATACTGAGAGCTAAAAAGAAAGCAGGCATTTACCTGGAGGGTATGCAGACACCTAATAATGATTGTTTAAATTTGTGCAAAGTAAAGAATACAGCATTCTTCATCACTAGGATTCTAATATAAAAAATTGTCAAGGAAGTCAATTTTTGATTTTTATTTGGATTTTTTTTACAGTATGCCAGCGAAAACGTCCTACTCCACCAATCAAAAAAAGACTGCTGAAAGCCCACCCGATTTCCATTAGATTTGCATGGAATTAGTGTTGTACTTTTATTCATTCCATCATCTGCTTTGGTTGTTCAAACTCATTTTATGGAATTGAGTCAATAACTTCGAGAAAATACTTGAAGACCATGAACTATGTAGAACAGTGAACTAGAGGAGGGAGTTTATCCCGGTTTCCTGACCAACCAATTACCCCAAATAAAATTAGTCACTCACTCCAAGATTCTTTGTGGGAGAATTGGCTGCTGCATTTTGCCCACAAACATATACCATTAATTTACGTTACACTATAACTATGAACCGTTTGAGGCACCTCGCTGACGTACTAAGGTGTTATATCAAAAATGAGGATTATTTTTATTATTATCATTATTATGTGTTCCCAGCTGTTGAATGAACCAGGGAATCATGGAGGTGTTAGATTATAGAAGTTGTAGTCTAATAATAATGAACATTAAACAAATGTAGAATGGAGAAAGTACTGACAGTCATGGGATAGGACACATCTGGTTTTCTCTGTTTTTGAAAGAATAACAGGACTCTTATCAGTAAATGACAACAAGCCCACAGAGGTAACGGTCCAAGGTTCCGGTCGACACAGGATCTCGACTTAGCAATAAGTCGCTAGATTCTGACAGGGCCAACCGACAGAAGGCAACCCTCAAGAATAGCAACTAAGGAGCAAGTTGCTTAAGCTAGAGGACCTTGGTACCATCCCGGGATACTAATAAGAAATAACCAGTCACTTAAAGGAATGTACTCATGATCCCACATAACAAAATAACAAGCACCTGATACAGCCCTAAACTGATCAATCTCCTATCTTAGACAGGACAAAGGGAAGATCTCGTGGAGACTCACTCAGGCTGGCACCAAGCCAAATGACTGATTAACCTGAGTAGGTGACTGTCTCAGGTGGGTAGAGGGGCCCTAGGAAGGACGAGGCGATTGGTCGACAAACCGCCGAATAAGGCTAGGTAAAATACAAGTGATTGGATATGTAAATACGGGATGTAATGGCAAGTCAGGCGACTGACTATAAGTAGCCAAAAAGAGAAGATCGAAAGCCTGAATAACTGAAGCAACTAAGAAAGAGCCCTGTTCCGGACTCGCAGCACTCGGTCAAGCGGCGTTGACGGTTGACTGCTGAAATAAGCGAGCTTCAATGGTATTTTTGTTTGAATAAACTTGGCTTTACGGATATTACCTAAATGGAATGCTGGGTGACCTTTTTGATATCTAACAAAGCATTCATGCTATCCTTCTGGCAAAATATCAATCAGAACATTGTAACCATAAACTCCGAATGATTTTTCATTTTCATTTTGAATTAATATACCATTTGTAATTTGTTTGACCAAG